TAACCATCCCCATCAAAACCACCATTTCCTTTATTGGCCTTCTTCCCCATTTTCTTTTGCTTTTGAATACTCTTATATACTTTTATCCTCTTAAAATTAACTTCCTTTTGGGTCCTCTTAGACAGTAAAGCTTTTCAAAACCAATAGATAGAAACTACACTTTACTCAATGCTTTCCTAATGCAACAAAAAAAAAAAAGAATTAAGAAGTTTTCGACAGGATCAACAGTTCTTAATTCCCTTTTCATATAAAATGGGAAAATTAAAAAAAAAAAATCTAAAAGCAAACATTGTTCAACTGAAGTTATTTCTTTCCAAGCTACATTGCTTTAAGTATCCGAATTCTTGTAATGCTTGAAAGATTTTTTAAATTTCCCAATCCCATCAGTCACCTGCCTCGATACGTTTTTGTTATAACCATCCCCATCAAAACCACCATTTCCTTTATTGGCCTTCTTCCCCATTTTCTTTTGCTTTTGAATACTCTTATATACTTTTATCCTCCTAAAATTAACTTCCTTTTTGGGTCCTCTTAGACAGTAAAGCTTTTCAAAACCAATAGATAGAAACTACACTTTACTCAATGCTTTCCTAATGCAACAAAAAAAAAAAAGAATTAAGAAGTTTTCGACAGGATCAACAGTTCTTAATTCCCTTTTCATATAAAATGGGAAAATTAAAAAAAAAAATCTAAAAGCAAACATTGTTCAACTGAAGTTATTTCTTTCCAAGCTACATTGCTTTAAGTATAATAATAACATTATATAAAAAATAATGAAAGGTTGAAAAACTAAAAAAGAAGGTTAAGAAAAAAGTTGTTAAGCTTTGACCGACTTACAGTGAGGCGGAGGAGCTATGTTCCGGTGCTGACACCTAACCGCAAGAAAGCCGCGCGTATACAGAGCAAGAGAGAGAGAGTTTGGCCGTCTTCCAATTTTGGCTTTGTAATTTGTATCGGCACTCGGAAAAAGGGCACCGAAAACTTTTGAATTGTGAAAAAGAAAAACGACGTAGTTTCTTTTTTGGGTCTTGATGAGTTACCCGAAGCTGAAGGTGTTTTTCCTCCAATAGAAGTGGAGCTTTAAAACAAAAAATGGGTCAGGTTGTCAATTTGTTGTTAGCCCCAATACGATAGCATCTGTCAGAGCTCTAAGCCCGTTATCATCTTCGTATTGCACTGCTCAAGGTCCATTCCCAAAATCACTTGATAAAATTATAAACTCTTTTTTTAATATGTTATATATTAAGTACTTAATATTTTTTTATAAAGTTTATATTTGATATCTAATTAGTATATAAATTTTATACACTATAATTAATTTATATATTTACAATAAATCAAATGATAATTCATTAATAAGATGAATTTGATGAAAAAATCTCATTAATGAATAAATTTTTTTAATCTGTATATATTTATTTTAAAATTTAATATTTATTCATTAATAGATTATCATTATTTAATTCTTTGATAATATATAAAATTTATATAATAATGTATTAAATATAAACTTTTTTTTATAAGTTATAAATACTAAACTCACAGGAAAGCAAAACATTTTGATAGTAGTAAAAAATATTGGCTGCAAAACTGTTAATAATAAATAAATAAATAAAGTTATCAATGTGTAAGTTATTAATAAAATATTCAAAATTTTATTTTAATGATCAAATTTTAATTTTTTATAATTTTAAACATAAAAATAAAAAAATTCAAAATATTTCAAAATGAACATATATTTCTTACTAGCAATAATCAACTACTTTTGTCCTTGCTTTGTTCCCATTTTGTTACTAGAATATTAATACTAAAAATTTATAAGAATAAATAAAAAGTGAAAAAGAGGAAACCTTTTAATGATTAGTCGACTCCTTAAAATGAAATATATATATATATATATATATATATATATATATATAAAGAAATAGAAGAATCGGCGTCGAATTGCTCATGTCGGAAAATGCTTGAGCCTGGCCGGTAGCCGTTTGATTTTTTGTTTAGCGATTAACTTGAACCGACAAAAAAGCGTGATTTGCGGTTAACATTTGATTAATTTTGAAGCTAGGATATTCAATATTTATTTGTTCGACTTTTATAATCAAATAGAGTTAGATGAAGGAAATAAGCGGCGTGAGTTTGATTAATTTTGTGGTGCCCTCATTTCCATAAATTCAACTTTTTTGAAGGAAAAAGTTTAATTGGCGTATATGAATATGAGCTGCTAATTATTATTTGTTAACTATCTAATTTAAAATTAATTAATATTAAATAAAAATATTTAATATAAATATAATATTATAAAATATTAAAAAATTTATTAAATATGAAATAATTTATTTAATAATTTTTTATCATGTATAGATGAAAATATAAAAAAATTTACGTAATAAATTAAAAAAATAATAAAAATAAAATTTTAATTTTACTATCATATTAAATATTTATATTAAAATTAATTAATATTAATTAAAAAAATCGAACTTAAATATAAAATTACATAATATTAAAAAATTATTAAATATGAAATAATTTACTTTAATATTATCAACCCAACAAAAAAAAAGCTGTTTTAAAATTATGTGAGGCATCATTCGTTATCGCGAAGGGCCAAATTCATGTGATGTACAGCTCCTAATTGATCGTTCCTGTTTGTAAATGGAGAGGAACATATAAAAGTATGCTTAAACAAAAACTGAAAAAGCAAAAGTCTTGATGATTTTTATTTTTTATTTTTGGTAAAGTTGAGACAACTGACTTTCCCAATTTTCTTTTGATTGTACCATGTAAAGAAAAAGGTTACGCATGCATCCAAGCATGAAGCATCCGATGAATGGAGTGGATTCCATGTCTTTTATCTTTTGTATCGTTCTTTTGAATAAAATTATATTAGGTTTTTTTTTTGTTATGATTGAGTTTTGAATTTGAGATTTTTAATTTTAAAATTAACTCGAGTATTATTAAGTTAACAATTCATTATTTTTATTTATTTATTTATTTGCGACGTATGCCTTAATAACAATAAAGTTTGTTATAAAATATGTGCTTCATTAGGAAGAAAATTAAAGATAAGGGTAATGTGCTTTTGTTTGTTTGCTTTTATATATGAGTTGTTATCTTATACGGAATCTTAAATTATTAAGTTACATTCATAAAATTTCAATCGAAATTAAATTTATGCAGGTGAAATATTTATGATAAAATTTATTTATTTTAGAACGAGCCAAGTTATGATGATTCATTAATCACTACTAAATTTTTACCTTGCACGATAATTAATTAATGTTGCTCCAAAAGATGAACATTATATTCATAGACTTTTTTTTTTTTAATGTAGCCAGCACACTGCTTCAAAGTCAAATTACGGTGAGATATAGATACTTTAATTACTCTCTTTGATTACTTCCACATGTGAGTCACAAATGGCAATTAATTTTAATTAATAGTTTGAGCTTTGATGTGGGCTTTTGAAACCATGCTTTATAATTTATATTTATTGCTTGTTAAGGTTAAAGCAAGAAAACTTATTACTCCTATTTATTCATGAATATCCTTTGTCTCTATTTTTATTAGGTAAAAAATTATTTTTGCGTATTTTCTAGTGTAAAAAAAAAACATTAAAAATAATATAACATTAGAAAACCTAAAATTATTGGATGCTTAATTTTTGCTAATAAAACCCAATCTATATTCATAAATATTAAACTAATTAGTCTACCTACTACTTGGGGCACGATCTTAAACAGATAAAAAAAGGAAGGAATTTCATCAAAAAGGGGAAAAAAAAAGAAAAATTTACTTAAAGGTGTTGGGTTGATTTATTTAATTGAAAATTAAACATTAATACAAAATCCAACGAATATAAGTCTCTAATTCTATATTTAAACACCCTTTTTTTTTTTTTAATTTGTTGCTTTTTGCTAGATGCTATTCCAGCTCAGGTGTGGATAAGAAAACTTGATTGGCCACCACGTTCGCTTTGTTACCGTTGTTCTGACCTCCTTTTAACAAGTTGGAGCAGTAGTTCTCTTTCTTCTAGCTAGGATCTATGGCTGCGCTGCTATTGTTTGACTCGTCATTGGAAAATTAGGGTTGCTTATTACAACTAATATAAGGTTTATTTCACTGAATAAATTCATTCTTCTTGACCAAAGAAATGATTTTGTGTTTTGATTTTTATTCAAATAGATTTATGACATGAAATGCATGATTTTTTCAAAGACAGCATATCTTGATCTTGATTCCAAAAGATTTAATTTTAGAAACAGAGGAGAGGAGTGTAGAAGAAGAGACTATAAAGTAATTAAAAGGTATAAGATTCAAACAAATATGAGCACCGACACTTTGCCATAAACCCTAATTTGGTAGCATACATATCCATAAAAGAAAACCTAATTAAAGGTCAAATTGTTTTGGACAATGTTAATCATGTAATGCAATGGTAAGTGTCTCAATCTTCAAAAAAGAAAACAGCATTTTAGATTTGAATATTGACCCGAGTAACGGAAATTGGAAGAGAGTTATTCATATTTCTCTATCAATGAACAATGAAGTGTACAATGTAGCATACTATTTGCCTGTCAGAGCATGCTAATAAAAAGAGACGTAGACTGAGAACTTGACCTTAGCAGGCCATCCAAGAAAAACAAACATGTGAATGTAATGCAAGAAAAAAGAAATCAGTGGTAATAGCAAACCAGGAACTAAAGAATGTATTTCAGACATCCTACTTGTTTTTGGTAGAAAAAATTTTTGCAAGTTGCAGTATTAATGAACTTGACATTACAAAATTAATGGCAGTTGTAACATGTGTGTCTCAAACTTAAGGAGTGAAATTTTTTTGAAAAACAATATTTTAGTAGAAGAAAATTAAAAAGTGAAAATGTAAAAAGCAGATAAGGATAGACTTACCAAAAGTTAAGTGGGGCCTTATAATTTCATGAAATTAATTAATTGAAAAGTCCAAAAGAATATGTCAAATGTCTTAGCTGTCTGCACTTAAACCTTTTTAAATCCTCTAACCAGCCCACTTCTCTTCACTGCACCCTTCCAATCTTGCTTTATAGTCCATAAAATTTTCTCTCTTCTTCTAGACTTTGTTCTTGTAGGAAAGGAAAATGACCCGAATTAAAGACATCCTGACCAAATTTTCTGATTCTGGCAAACACATTTCCTCCGCCAAGAAACACAAGAAAATTTTCTTAGCAGTTTTTGCATCGTTAGTGATTCTTGCTGCTATAATTGGTATTGTTGCCGGAGTTAATTCACGAAATAACTCTGATGAAACAGATACTTCCCATCATGCCATTGTAAAATCTGCTTGTAGCAGCACACTCTATCCTGATTTATGCTTTTCAGAAGTTGCTTCAGCTTCTGCTGCTGCCACCAAGAAGGTTACTAGCCAAAAAGATGTTATCGAATTGTCCCTTAACATCACAACCACTGCTGTTGAACACAACTACTTCAAAATTAAGAAGCTGTTGGCTAAAAAGGGTCTCACTGAACGTGAAAAGACAGCTCTTCATGATTGTTTGGAGACCATAGATGAGACCCTTGACGAGCTTCACCAGGCTGTTGAGGATCTGCATGAGTATCCTAATAAGAAATCACTGACTCAACATGCGGATGACCTCAAGACCCTGATGAGTGCTGCCATGACCAACCAAGAAACTTGCTTGGATGGCTTCTCTCATGATGAAGCCGACAAGAAAGTCCGTAAAGTCCTGATTGCTGGTGAGAAGTATGTTGAAAAAATGTGCAGCAATGCACTAGCCATGATCAAGAACATGACAGACACTGATATTGCAAATGAGATGCGCAAGACATCAAACAGGAAGCTCAAGGAGGAAGAAATTGATGGCGTTGCCTGGCCAGAGTGGTTGTTAGCCGGAGACAGGCGTCTGCTTCAGTCGTCTTCGGTGACCCACGACGTGGTTGTGGCGGCAGATGGTAGTGGGAACTACAAAACAGTGTCGGAAGCGGTGGCCAAAGCACCCGAGAAAAGCAGCAAAAGGTATGTCATTAAAATCAAAGCAGGTGTCTACAGAGAAAACGTGGAAGTCCCCAAGAAGAAGACTAACATAATGTTCATGGGAGAAGGAAGAACTAGAACGATCATCACCGGGAATAGGAATGTGGCCGATGGAAGTACAACTTTCCACTCTGCTACAGTTGGTAAGCCCTCCATTTCACTTCCTCTATTTTACGTTAATATTCCTTCTTTCCAGTTAAATTCTACTTAAACATCTTCTCAAGTTTGAAAATCCACTGATTTAATTGATACTATGTTGGATATAATTAATTTACATATTGAAAAATTTTCTGTTCTGCGTTTTTCCATATACCTATACCATGAAACATAAAGCAGAACTAGGGACACTGATCATTCATTGGGATCAGATATACATGATCATTTGGTGACATTCAGGAGACTTCTTTTCGTTAAAAAATGAACAGCTTGGTAAAGTTTTAGAAAGTTGATGAGACGCGTCTTGCCTGTGATTTTGAAAATTTGATTTCTTTACCAAATGCAATCCCTACCCCCATATTCTATGGGTTCTGGGGTCCATGACCATGATACACGCGATGGACCCACTTAGCTTAGCCCTGCAGAATGATTCATACTGTTAATTCCTTTGTATTAGCTTTGCACACATTACCTCAGTAGAATTAGGCCATGGCCAGCTCACTAAAGGTCAAATATTGTTCAATTACGATATCATACTATATATGAAGTATATATAATAATAAAAAGGGCAATCCACCGAATTGCTTTGTTACAAGCTGTGCTTGTCGTCTATCCCATTATGATTCTGAAACACTTGATCATAATAAACCCCAGCAAGACACTTTCCGAATGAATCCTTTCTCTTTAATTCCTAGATATTGAGATAGTGAGAGATTGGTGATAGTTTCACTGTCCTATCTACACCAGTCCATACAGTTGACCTTGCGAGTGAAAGCTACTAGTCAATTTAACTTGTATCATTACCTTAAAAAAAAAAGGTTTTTATGGCCAAAGATAAATGTAAATAAATTGGTAAACATCTAACAGATACAAGGTTCAAATCTTAGTATTTTTAATTTATATTTTTTATCTTCAAGTTATGATATCTTTATACAAAAAAAGGCCGGGTGCCTTTCTGAATTTACAGAAAATCAACCGTAAGCAATCAGATTTGGTAATTTTGAAGAAATGCATTATATTAAAGTACATGTGAGAATCAAAAGGGTGAAATACTACTATATATGCTAGTTAGTAGCAGCAACTCGCCGAAAAATTCTGCAGGTGAAGCCAAGGTGGTTTACAGCCGTGCATTGATTTTTCTAGATAAGCTTTTCTTCTTTTATTTTAGTGAATGAAAGTTGACCGTCGGGACTTTGGAGGCTTCCCTCTTGCTTCACCTACTTGTCTCAGAAATCGTATAACAATTTTCAATTTTCCTTTTTGTGGACTTTAGCTATTCCTTTAATTTTTGACAGTTTGATATCCATGTGACAAGTTCGTACATTCACACACGGCATTCAAGCCAACGCACAAATTTGTAGGCTTTTTGTCTTTTCATTAAACAATTCAAGTCATCCAATAACTTTAGCAGTTTGAACCTCAGCTCCAAAGCTGTGTTGGAGCGGCCCAACACATGCTTGCACGATGGAATAGGTTTCATTCTTAGGTGACGATACGGTACAATGATTCTGCAGTCGAGAGTCTCGAGACAGCCCGTAGCACTTCTTTTGCTTTTATTTGGTCCCTGGTGTCGTCCTTTGGTTAGGCCTGGGGATAGGTTTGCCATAGAGCCTAGGCTTCGTGTAAAATTATCAATATCATACGATTTTGATATCCCAAAATTTATTTCACTCCAACGGATGCTTTTGACATAGAAGCTGTAGCCTTAAAATAGTCACTGTGCCTGTTTCAGCTGAAATCATATAGTCCAAAGAAATGCTGCGTGACTTTTTTTAATTAAACCGCTAGCATCATTAAATTGGTCCAACAAAGGCAGTTGAGCCAATTTATATTAGTATTTTAAATACACTGAATCAGATGGGTTCTAATTGGTAATATATGGCAAATGGAACTTTGTTTTTTTTTTTTTTTTTACCTTGCTTTTTAATCTTCTAGTATTTAAATTTTATGCTGTTTAAAGTATAGCCTGATCCTCCGAATATATGCTCCCATGTGGTTGCAGCTGTGGTTGGTGAACGGTTCCTTGCCCGAGACATAACCTTCCAAAACACAGCAGGTCCCTCAAAGCACCAAGCCGTTGCCCTTCGTGTTGGCTCTGATCTCTCAGCATTCTACCAATGTGACATTCTAGCATACCAAGACAGTCTCTATGTTCACTCCAATCGACAATTTTATGTGAACTGCCTCATAGCAGGAACCGTTGATTTTATCTTTGGCAATGCTGCAGCTGTGCTCCAAAACTGTGACATCCATGCTCGAAGACCCAACTCGGGGCAGAAAAACATGGTGACAGCCCAAGGCAGGACTGACCCAAACCAAAACACAGGCATTGTTATTCAGAAATGTAGGATAGGTGCCACTTCTGATTTGCAGTCTGTTAGGAGCAACTTCGCAACATATCTTGGAAGGCCCTGGAAGGAATATTCAAGGACTGTTATAATTCAAACATCTATCACTGATGTGATTCACTCTGCAGGGTGGCACGAGTGGAGTGGGAGTTTTGCCCTGAAAACATTGTTTTATGGTGAGTACCAGAACACCGGAGCAGGTGCTGGAACTTCTGGAAGAGTGAAATGGGAAGGGTTCAAGGTGATCACTAGTGTAAGTGAGGCTCAGGCGTATACTCCTGGCAGGTTCATTGCTGGTGGAAGTTGGTTAAGCGCTACAGGCTTTCCTTTCGCTCTTGGGTTAAGTTGATGCACGTATTGTGATGAAGATACCTACTTCATTGTTGATTTGAGACTACTTTGCCACCATGTTTCTTTTAAATTATTACTAGATAATGGTAATAATAAGCGTATGCCATGGTTTTCTTCAAATTCATCTGATGACAGAATTTAATGACAAATTCCATGTTAAAAGTAGAAACATCCAAATCATTCAAAACCATCCGGCATTGGTATGTGGGTTATGAGTTAAAGCCTTGACAGTAAGCTAGTGGATGGGCTGGATACCAATAGGGCCATCATTCATTTTGTCAGCCTGGAATAAATCCATGGTTTTCCTTCATCTAGAAACTGCTACATACTAGGATTACTATAACCATTGGGGTCAACTTGCAAATAATGCAGCGAGAATTTTCTTGATGCCCTTGGTGAGAAAATGAGACTTCCGATACTAAGTTGCAATGCATGCTTTATTGCTTTATACTTGCTGGATGTTGACAGCAAACGGGGCCAAATGCTAGCACCTGGTTTTACACTTTAGTGGGTTCCAAATAAAACCTAGGGAAAGCAAAAGCTTGTTTGAGTGGGACAGTTGGAAGGACAATGTTAATCCCATTTCTTTTTCCACTACCAAACCATCATTTTTCTCAAAGGAATTGATGCCCACAAATCTAAAGACAAAAATCCTTATATACCTTATTCTACTTGATGTCTATACCTTTCAATATTCCCCTTGTCGATTCACTATTTGTTCTAATGCACTTGCATTGGTCGGGTTCTCTTCTTGCCTAAGACTAATTAAAATCGTATCAACTGGGGTTTTGAATAATTAATATTTTTGACAAATGAAAATTTCAAATGCTGCCAATATATAAAATTTCGTAAATCATGCCGAAGACACATCTCTATTTCTTAATAATTCGCCACTGTCATGCTCATTTCATATACCTTTTGTAAAATTAAATCATGAAAATGAAAACAAAATCAAAACATAGATAAAGAGACCGAAAAACAAAATGTTGGCGCGATCAACGGGTACGCGTAGTGATGTTTCACAGCTAGCACATGGCAGGGAGTCTAAGAAGCAAATGCGAATCTGTCCAAGTGACAATGACCAAAATGAAAAAATGAAAACCAATTTCGGACGACTAATCCTTTCTCAATATTAAAAAAAAAAAAAAAGGAAATTGTCAATCTTCATAAGTTAGTGGCATCCAACGCTCCAACGTCTAATAATAAATTTTAGTTTGATGAAGAAAAATTGTTTAATTAATCGAACAAAATGATGAGAGTTCACATGCTCCAATTGTGTGGATCCAAGTGGTGATGATGCGGCTGGCTAGCCAAAACTTGTTAGAAATATTGACAGATCAATTATTTGCCCTTTTTAGTGGCATTTTATTAGGTTAGTCAAAACTTATAATAAATCTTTTGAAGACGGATTTTTTTTTTAAAAAAGAAAAACTTTACTTGATGAACTTAGTATAGCAATCATTGGTAGAATTTGATGAGGTTCATATCAAGTTTGACACTCTTTTGCTTAATTATTATTATATTATACTACTTTAAATTACAGTTAGTTTAATTTAATTTGACTCATAAGTTGTGAATATGAATTTTCAAATTAATAAATTTTTTATCAATAAACTGTTAATTTAGTAGTGTTAAAATTAATTTCAAAATTAAAAGTTTTTAGTTTAAATTTTAATTGTAATTCAAAAAATAAAATAAAAAATTGTAATGATTTTTTGTTGATTTATAATAATTGTATCATGAAATTTGAACTTGAAAATTTTGTTACGCAAATAAATTGTGACTATAGACATCATATATGAGTATAACTCAACTTGTCAACAAATAATTTTTATAAATAAGAATTATCCTTGTATTCTCGAAGGCATCTCAACCCTTATGGTTAGGCAGATTAGGCGCTTCAGCATAAATCTTAAAAAAAAATTCTTGCTTTAAATTCCAGCAATGATTATTATTGGCCAATAATATAAAGTTTTCAATTAATTATTATGATTAATAAATAAAGTGCCTTTGAAAAAAAAAATACTGAAGTGGGGTCCTAGGTAAATCCTATACATGTTTTACTTGTTTTTGAGCAAGTTTAACCCAATAAAACAAGAAGCTGCTTTACTGGTCCAAAATTTTTACTACAAGTTTAATAGTAATGTGTGGCCCAAGGGCCCACAACAATGCTGCCATTTTTGCTAAATAGTCCAAAGAAATTCCATAACCAGGGCAGCTCTGATAACTATTGTGGCTTGAAGGAGTTTTTTAGTGTGAGTTATTTATTAAAAATGATTTTATAAAATTTATTTTGAAACTAAAAATTTGTAAATGGATAGAATTTAATAAAAAAATCAGTAAGGGGATGATAGTTACCAATAAAGAAAGCAAATTTAATGCCGTCTTAATAATATATAAAATATATATTTTATGATAAAAATTTAATTAATATTTACTTTACAGTAAAAATTTTATTAAAATTTACTAAAAACTCTTAAATTTTGTACATTTAGTTTATGTAATAAAATTTCTTAATCTATTAATTTAAAATTTTATTTAATCACTTTTAATAAATGCATCACAAATTTCATTAAAAAAAAAATCCACCTAAATGTTGTCCCTTGTGAAGACGGTGAATTGTGATGTTTCTCCTTACCATGGTCTAATCTTAAAAACCATCAGTAATTTCATCATTGCTGGATGCAGTTCTCGAGTCTGTCTTAACTAAGATTTTTAAATTCTACTAGTATATGTATTTAATTTAGACAGCTAGATTTGTCATAGCATTTCTCAATAAAAAATGATGAACCGTGGTTAGTTTCATCCTGGACCGCGTAAGATTTTTTTTTTTTCTTTTTTCTCTAGACCGTGTAAGGAGATACCATATCAGTATTCTATACATCACATTACAGCTTGGGTTTGCTAATATAGACAGACAGTTCCATGGAAACCAAAATTACAGCTATGGCTACTCGTGCATTTTATTGTGTTTAAAATTAAATTAATTAAATTAATTTATATAAATCACATTACACCTAATAATAAGATGTAAGCCAGGAATTATAATCCTTATCGTTTATTGGCATTTTTAATCTTATCAAAATGTGAACATAAGATGTAAATATGGGAGAAGCACCAAGTATGTTTGGTGAATGAGAATAATGATGTTGATTTATTGGTAAATAAGGAAAAAAAGTACCTCAATTCTTTTAACAGAAAAAACATGATTCTGTCTGTTTTCTTCGATTGATTATACTATATCGTAGCAACGAAGCATCGAAGAGAGATCCTATCTTTACCTCTCTTTATATAAAAAAGGGAATTCCCACAAAGCTTCCCCATTCCTCTCTAACCTTTTCTCTACTATCAAATTAATAATCCTATAGAAAATTCCCCGCAGGCAAAGCGGGATTCAAGAAACTAAGCTCAGAAGGGAAATTGAGAGAAAGAGATATGGATTCAATCAAGTCATTCAAGGGCTATGGTAAAGTTAATGAGATCGAAGAACAAGCTTTCAAGCGAAAGACTCGAAGGCGTCTCATCATCCTTATCGTCTCCATTGTCGTGCTATTAGCAGTTGTCATTGGCGCAGTTGCTGGGATTTTGATACACAAGAGAAGCATCTCGTCTCCCAACACTGTACCCCCAACTGAGTTGACTCCGGCCGCTTCTCTCAAAGCGGTTTGCAGTGTGACTCAGTACCCAACTTCCTGTTTCTCCAGCATATCTTCCATTGCATCCTCAAATACAACTGACCCAGAACTCCTCTTCAAGCTGTCTTTGAGAGTAGCCATCGACGAGCTCTCCAGGTTGTCTCAATATCCCAACAAGCTAAAAGCTGAAACCAATGATACCCAAGTGAGATCTGCTTTAGAAGTATGTGGAAGTATGTTTGAGGACGCGTTGGACCGACTGAATGATTCAGCAACTTCCTTGGAAGTTGGAGAAGGAGAGAAACTGTTGTCAGATTCCAAGATCGATGACTTGAAGACTTGGCTAAGTACAACCATAACTGACCAAGAAACATGTTTAGACGCCCTGGAGGAGTTGAATGCTACAAAGCAATTCAACGCCACACTACTTGAAGAAGTGAAAGCTGCCATGCAAAATGCAAGTGAATATGCCAGCAACAGTTTGGCTATTGTTGCCAAAATCTTGGGTTTGTTGACTGATTTCAATATTCCGATTCATAGGAGGTTGCTTGGGTTTCAAAAGGCAGGTTCAGAGTTTCCAGCTTGGGTTAGTCCCACTGAAAGAAGGCTGTTGCAGGACTCCAAGCCTACCCCAAATGTTATTGTGGCTAAAGATAATTCCGGGGATGTCTTTACGATTAACGATGCAGTGAAATTGGTGGGAAAGAAGAATGAATCGAGATTCGTGATATATGTGAAGGAAGGAGAGTATGTTGAGAATGTGATTCTGGATAAAAACAAGTGGAATGTGATGATTTACGGTGATGGCAAAACTAAGACTATAATTTCCGGTAGCCTGAATTTTATTGACGGAACTCCCACATTTGCTACAGCTACTTTCGGTAAGTAATTTTCAATCTTCATTGATCTTGCTACTATTTAGTTTTTACTAGTTGTAGTGTAATGATTATTAAAAAATAATCTCAAGTTGTGATGTCCCAAACAAAGAATATAGACCCTCAAACCGTTTATGTTGTCTTTGCCCTTTAGATTGGAGAACCTTCATAAACCATAATGGAGCTTAAACCATGTGCTAGACTTACTCGGAGAGCAGTCTGTGTCATATCATATGAACAGGGTAAAGAAACCATATTGTGATTACGTGTTACCATGTGAATTTGTTGTGTTGCACTTGCTTTCTCATAAAATTCTGCTCTTCCACCTTACTGTTGTTTGCCCTGCTTACTTTTGAAATTTTCAATCAACAAATCAGTAAGGCTGGAGCCTGGATGTTGGTTGGCCCACCATGTGCATCCCAAACAATTTAGAAAGCCTGCAACTGATATACTACCATACTACATAAATTAGAATTAAAAATTAATTAGGTCTTGGTGTATCCAAGGACAGTTGTCCTTCAATGCTCCCCTCAAGCCTCATCCATTGGATGGTGATCTGAACTGATCAATTGTCTGATGTTAATGGGGATTGCTCAATTTTAAAGCTTTTATTATTGTAAGTTCGTCTAGAAAATTTGTAGTAAAACTGATATTGAAGCTTGAAAAAGGAGATTTCTAAATGTGTTGAAAAGTCTTATGTTGTTTGAAATGGGTTTTATATCATTGATGCCAATATGGAAAACAGGTTTCTAAGAGCTTAATTTCAATTTTCCAGGAGATTCCCAAAAAAATAAATAAATAAAAAACCTTAGAGAGGGTAGTTTTGATGAAACATTCCTGGAAAGCCAATTTAAAACGAAGTTTTCGTTTCTTTTTTCCGGTTTGAAAAGTTTGAACTTGGAATAGAGAGATATCAAAATGAAAAGAGCTTAAAGGTATAGTTGGTTAAAATAGGCCTTCATTTCCTGCAGTGCAGCTGCATGCGACATGTCTGCTGGCTTTTTGTACTGTGTTTAGGTTTGCCCACAACACTCTCCCCATTTTCTGTCAAATGGCTCTTTCTGGAGAAAATGTTGCATGTTGGATCATGTGCTGGAATAGTTGAATGTTGCCTACTCTGTAGGAAAGTGTCTTAAAACAGAACTAAATTGAAGACTCAACTTTCTATTTGATTTAATTGGCATTCAATTTTGAAAAATCACCTCATAATTTCCTGCATTCATATTTTGTCAATTACTTATAATTCTTGTGTGAATTGCCAGCTGTGGCAGGGAAGGGATTCATTGCAAAGGACATAGGGTTCGTCAACTCAGCAGGTGCAGCAAAGCACCAAGCAGTGGCTATGCGGTCTGGTTCGGATCGCTCAGTATTCTACCGCTGCGCATTTGATGCCTACCAGGACACTCTCTATGCTCATTCCAATCGTCAGTTTTACCGAGAATGTGACATTTTGGGCACAATTGACTTCATATTTGGGAATGCAGTGGTTGTTTTCCAAAACTGCAACATCCAGCCAAGGCAACCTTTGCCTAACCAGTTCAATACCATCACAGCTCAAGGAAAAAAAGACCCTAACCAAAACACCGGCATTTCTATTCAGAAATGTTCACTAACAGCATTTGGCAACCTTACTGCTACAACTTTCCTTGGCAGGCCCTGGAAAGAATTCTCCACTACTGTTATTATGCAGTCAAACATTGGGGTATTCTTGGACCCAGCGGGATGGAAAGAATGGGTTGCCAACGTTGACCCACCTAGCACAATTTTCTATGCAGAATATCAAAACAGTGGACCTGGATCAAGTGTGGATAAAAGGGTAAAATGGGCTGGTTACAGGCCCACTCTCTCAGACGTTGATGCTGTTAAGTTCACAGTGGGAACGTTCATACAAGGTCAAGATTGGCTGCCTGATGCAACTGTCTCGTATGAACCAGCTTTATGATCTGATAATGGACTCAAAGATAGGGTTGAGGCAAGGTCAAAGATCAAGATTTCAGATGATGGTTTTTTCTTCTTTTTTTTTTTTACATTAAATTTTGTTTGTAGAACCATATATATATAACTCGAATGTATTACAATCCATGGCTACGCTCTCTCTATTCTTTAACAATCTTTTGTAACCCAAAAAATATAAAACAAGAAAGTTACATGTTGAGGAGGACCATTAAATATCAATATGACAAATGAACCAAAAAGATTGAACAAAGCATCTTAGCATAAGGATTCATGGCTGAATGAGTTAGCAACTTTCATGATTAAACATGAAAATGAATGACGAAATGTGTGCACCCCAAAAACTGCAAATTCCATCGAATTCAACATACCAGGTGAACAATCCATCAAAAGTTCTGTTAGCTATTTAATTGGTAAATAGGATACAACTTGTTAAAACTAAATGCCCAACTCTCCAACATTTTTTGTATAAAACCTGTAGCAAAGCCAAAGCCCAAATAATGGTTGCGGTTTATGGCTGAGGTGAGAGGTGGACGATACATAAAATTGAAGTCCACCTTCGCTAATCATGGCAAAGTGATAGACTGGAATTCCTCTCTCGGATGCACCTTGGCATGTGCGTAGGTAAAGGACAAATAATGTCTTCGTCAAACCTCTATATATATATATACACACACATATATTCTAAAGAATGCATCATTTAGCGTCCATTATTTATTCATGTGTTCTTACGTAATTTTCAAGGGCATTTTAAAATAAGACTTATACTTATCTTCTTATACATCTGGCAAACCAGTACATCCTAATCCATTTGTCAAGAATCTAGAACTTTATTACTTGGGTGAAAGGTCATAGAATTTGTTGAATAGCACAAATTTGATGATTAAAAGGAGAAAAAACAACCCTGAAGCCCCTTCATCATGGAACAAATTGATTCCATCCAAATCCAGAAGCATGTTTAAAGCTTTTTCCTATTTGTAATATTCGACTTGTCAGTAAGGTCGCCTCACTACTTTTCACTCTGACCATTCTTTCCTCACAAAAATAATAGCTTGGCTGCTAGGCAATTCAGCCGGCTCTGTCTGACCATTCTATTCTCGCCAAAGAAAAATGTTTGCTCAGCTGTTGACAAGCTTCTTCGTTGGATTTCACTGAATTTCTCTCGATTTTCTGCAATATTCCATCAAAAAATTTTAGATTGTTTCTTCCGATTCACAAAGGCAAGAATTAGGTCAAAAAAATGGAATAACAATTTCCTGCCTTTTTTTTTTTGTTCATACAATAGTTTCGTGCCTTTTGTGCTTATGTAAAGTCAATAAAATATAGATCATCTGCCAACATACCCAAAAACAGTAAAATCTAAATTCATGAATGATGTGATATAAGCCAAAGCCAGCCTTCATTTTTTTTTAAGTAATGTTTGGAGTAGGGAATTTGAAATGAAAGTCTCTTTAATTTTAACAGCGCTCCACTATACAGCAACTAATGTTAATATTCAATTCTACCTTGCATTATGTCCTATCATTTCTCATCTATTTTGGTCAAGTGGATGCAACGGTAATCTGCAAACTCAAGCAAGAAGTAAAAATTTGCATACAAATCCACAAATCTTCTCACCATTGCCCATTAAAAAAAATTATCATGGCAGGTTAGATCTGAGCTATGTCACTGACTTACTGTGTGCCAACTGCCAAGTCCATGAAGCACATGGTAATTATCTAAAAACAAATGAAATGAAGCACATGGTAATGTGAAAATTATATGGTAAAAGTAAATAATTAATTCTTGATTGTACAATAATTCAAATTAAATTAGCTGCATAAGTAATTAATATATTTATTATAGACAAAGGTAGAAAAACAAACAGCCAACTGAGGGTTTAGTGCCTCAGGAGAAGCAAAAATCTGAAACCGTGGGCGCAAGTAAACTAGCATCGGTAACGTCAAGTCAGTTTCGATTCTTTCAAAAAAAAGCCTGAAAACCAAAAATTTTTAATTGCTCAGAAGGGACAGCTTAAATTCTCTCTCTACTTTCAAAACCTAACTTTTTTTTCGCCTCTGTTTTATTCTACGCGTGTAGTGTGTATATATAGAACAGAGATGCGGAGATTTGTAATTGGCAGAGCCAGAAATCTCCTTGAAAATTCGTGTCAAAACTATCAGTTTCAACGGTATCTGCTCTCCTCTTCTCAATCCTCATATCGTTTCTTGTCCTCTACTCCTGTAGTTGATTCCCTTTCTTCCTCTTATTCTCCTTATTCAACAATGGCTCCTCCTATTACTGTGAATACTATTAACCCTAAGGTACTCTGTTTTTTCTTTTTTTTTTTCTTTCATTTGAAGTGTTTCTGAATCTGGGTTTCTCTTTTTTCTTGTTGTTTAATGTTTGATTTGATGTTTTTGAATCTGCGTTTTATCATTTATGCTTTGTGTATTTTGTGTATCTCGTTATTTAAAAAAATCTACATCTATGACCGTGAAGACCGGTTTTTGAATTCATTCTACCTATTCCCGTTTCTTCTTTCATTTTGTTATTAATTTACTAGGGGTATTAATCGAGTTGCCTATGTAATTAGAGGTGCTCTTGTATACCTTCCTTTCATTAGTCAAATGATGATTTTACGTTGTGCTTATCATCAGGTCCTAGAATGCGAGTATGCTGTCCGTGGTGAGATTGTCACCCTTGCCCAGGTATTATGACAATCTGCATCATCTCTAATGTATTTGTAACAGTTTTATTTCTGTCTAAATTTATTTTCTCATGCTTGTTTTATGGAATAGTTCTTTAATGATATTATCTTAATATCTCTCTCAGAAATTGCAACAAGAGATACAGGCTAAGCCAGAGGCTCATCCCTTTGAAGAGGTATGTTCTTTTCTTCCTTTAGAGTATGTTTGGTTCGGGGGAATCCACAAATTTTCTTCCGAAATTTTGATGGTGGGTATTTGTTTCCCACGTTTGGTTCAGGGTTATACTATTATGGGGAAATTGTCAGATTTTCAATAGTACTCAACGATCCGGAATCAAAAACCTACTTCTCCATGTGGTATTTTAGGATTCCGAAAAAAAGTTGTCTTATTTCCAAATTTGACCTGAAATCACATATATGTTACACTTCTTAAAAGCAAGTCTAGAACTCAGTTTTACCTTTTTTTTTTTTAAAAAAAATTCAATTGCGGTGTTTTTTCTGAACAAACCCGGTGAGGAGTTTTTCTAAATTTTTAAACAGAAACAATTAAGGTGTTCATATTAAACAAATGCCTTAATTAAGAGTTTTAAACAATTATAAAACCTATCAATTAAGGCGTTTCTAACAATAAACATCGTAATTGAGAAAAAAAAAAAAATCAATTAAGGCGTTTGTGTTAAACAAATGCCGTAAGTGAGGAGTTTTCCCAAATTCTAAAACAAAAGCAATCAAGGCGTTCATCTATTCCAAACGCCGTAATTGAAATATTTTGTAGATTTTATCTAGTCAATTACGGCATTAAGCCTAGTTAAATGTCATAATTGGTATATTTAATTTAAAAAAATTAAAACTTTGTTTTCTTTTGCTACTAAAGGTATCATTTGTTGTCTGGGAATTTTTTATTAAAGCAAAATGAAAGGTTGCCTCTAGTTTGTCAAGGAGATTATGATAAATATACATGAATTAATAAATGGAGATTCTCCCCAATCAAATGAGTGAGTCTGAATACGGGATGCCCTGAAAATCAAACAAAACCCCGGGTATCCTACTTTCTCGGGTATCACACTTTCTCCCGGAATTTAAGATTCCGTGAACAAAACTCTCCCTTAACTTAAGAGGCTTTTATGTTGGACTTGTGGATTTTGTCCGGCTGACTTTGATGGTTATGGAATTCTGTAGGTTGAATGTTGTTCATTTCTCATGAAGTAATTAATTTTATTGGAGTGCCTCTTGTCTAAAAAAGGCACGATAAAGGTTCCATAGAGGAGAGGAAATTAAGGCGGGGGAGGGGGCGGATGACTGTTCTAATGTTGATTGTTTTGCTATAATTGTATTACGTGAACTTTCATTTGACTCCCTACCAGTTTTATTTATTTATTTATATTTGGCATTAAATGTTAAATTGTTAATAATCTTTTGCAGATATTGTACTGCAACATCGGAAACCCTCAGTCTCTGGGTCAGCAGCCGATAACCTTTTTCCGAGAGGTTGGTATTTTGTTACCAGGTGATATTGATTACCATAAAGTTGTGTAATGTGAATGAAGCAATTCTAAATAGGATGTCTCTGCAATAGGTTCTTGCATTATGTGACCACCCATCCATTTTGGACAAAAGCGAAACACAGGGTTTATTCAGGTACTGAGAATTCATACTGGCCATCAGCTTTGAGGTTGTTTCTATTAAATTTTATAATTGTTTCATTTCTGTTCTTCCACCTAATAAAGTTTTTGAGTTTTGAGATGGGTGTTTAATCTGGGCCCTCCAATGGGCTTACCCATGCCCATGATGGATATGAGTAGAAGATATACGTATTACCCCTTGTGTCTTGCTGGGCACAATTTAAACCGTGATTATGTTTATTAGCACATTTATACATGTTATCTCCCCACCCCCACGTCTAAATAAAATAGGCACCTAGAAATATTTGGACTTTGAATACCAGAGAAGCAACATATTTATGTTCCTCCTTGAGCCTAGAATCTCCATACAATCCCACCATCCTACCTCTTGAGCTGATCTCTGGTGGTGGATGAGCTAACTCTTGCACTTGCATTTTCCTAAAAAACCCTTCCATTTTTGTCGAGTCTATCAGAATTGAAGGGAATTTTCCTGCTATCTAGATTTCTTCTGTATGCTTGATGGTTCATGATGGCTGAAAACTCCATCAACTTCTATTGAGCCTAGTGAAAGACAAAACATAATAAGATGTTCTTTTTTGCTAGCCATAGAATCTTTACTTTGGCAGATTACCAGTTTTTCTTTGATAGTCATTCCTTTTCCTCATGTAAATTGGCTCGTGACCTTTTGCAGTGCTGACTCCATAGAGCGGGCTTGGCAAATTCTCGATCAAATTCCTGGAAGGGCAACTGGTGCCTACAGTCACAGCCAGGTTGTGATCATTGCTCACATCTTGGAACTTTGACAATTCATGCTTGCATGTTATTAATAGTTATTTCATTTTCTTTCGATGTCAGGGTATCAAGGGATTACGTGATACTATTGCTGCTGGAATTGAGGCTCGTGATGGTTTTCCTGCTGATCCAAATGATATTTTCTTGACAGATGGTGCCAGCCCTGCGGTAGGTTTCTATCCTAAAATCTCATTGATTTCATGAATGATGTGTTACTCATGAACGCATGTATAACAGAATGGATTTCTCCTTATCTTCAGGTGCATATGATGATGCAATTACTGATCAGATCTGAGAAGGATGGAATTCTCTGTCCCATCCCTCAGTATCCTTTATACTCTGCTTCAATTGCTCTGCATGGTGGAACTTTGGTATGCATATGATATGTTAAAGTATTATTTAGAATTTTAGATATTTGTAAGCTATCTGGGTTCTTCACCTGTCACTGAAGTACTTATGTTTTGCTGGTTATTGGCCAAGCTCTAAATAATTGACCAAAATCAAGTTGCCTATGCTTATTGAGGATTAGGTTTTATCTGCCTTTCATAGCAGGACTTATAACATGGTTGGAAATTGAGATTGCCAGATTGTTATGATTACAACTTTCTTTTGCTTTTGCAGGTTCCATACTATCTTGATGAAGCTACAGGTTGGGGTTTGGAAGTTTCTGAGCTTAAAAACCAACTGGAGACTGCAAAGTCCAAGGGCATCACTGTTAGGGCCTTGGTTGTAATTAATCCAGGCAACCCAACAGGACAGGTAATTGATAATATGCTTTCGAAAAAATATTCTAAATGAAGAAATGTCTTGAATTTCATTTTTACATGATTTTATTTTCTCATTGTGATTTCAGGTTCTTGCTGAGGAAAACCAGAAGGCAATTGTGGAGTTCTGCAAGCAAGAAGGTCTTGTTCTTCTGGCAGATGAGGTAGGTTGTTTTTTTTTATGTTTTGGCTTTGCCATTCATTGGCAATGACTTTGCTTTCCAGGTATGAACCCCAAGGGTGAGTTCGTTCCTGCATTGACCTTAATAACCACCTATGGTTTTACAGGTTTACCAGGAAAATGTTTATGTACCTGAAAAGAAATTCCACTCTTTTAAGAAGGTTTCCCGGTCTATGGGTTATGGTGAGAAGGATATATCCTTAGTATCTTTTCAGTCAGTCTCAAAAGGTAAATTTGGTTTTTATCTTAGTTCTATTATTGCGTTTATAGCAGGTGAAAGAGCTTATGTAAACTTTGGAATTTTGACCATGCGCTCTTTTACCGTCTCCAGGGTATTATGGAGAGTGTGGAAAAAGGGGAGGTTATATGGAGGTTACTGGGTTCAGTGCTGATGTCAGGGAGCAAATATACAAAGTGGCATCTGTGAATCTGTGTTCTAACATCTCTGGTCAAATTCTTGCTAGCCTTGTCATGAGTCCACCTAAGGTTAAATCTTTTTTCATTTAAAATCAGTTTTCTGTATTTATTCAATAACATTGGATGCATGACATAAAATAAGATGGCATAGGACCAGATGGATTTTGAGGTTTGACTAGCTGCTTGTAAGCATTGGTTCTTATAGAAGAAACTCATATTTGGAGAAAGATTTTAAATCTCCCAACTATTATGTTTTTTGATGGTTGACAATTTGTAAGCTATCTGGTACACAATTTGGTGTCTCTAGGGCAGTACTTTTCTGGGATAATGGAGTAAAATTTTATGTTTACATACATGTCCAAGCTCAACATTGGTTAAATTATGTCATGCATGCCTTAAATAGGCATGTGATATTTGTTGCAAATGATAAAGCATATGAAATTTGCAGGTTGGAGATGAATCCTATGAATCATACCGTGCTGAAAGAGATGGAATCCTCTCATCTTTAGCAAGGCGTGCAAAGGTTAGTCCTCTGTTAGGTTGGATTAGTTTAGTAATCTGAATAAGGGGCATTAATGTTTAGTTGTAGCAAAAGTGAATGCTAAATTCCACGTTCTAATATGATACTTAACCAGGTTTTTTGGGAACTTGTAGTTGATTGCCAGTGTAAGAGAGTTTGAGCCTATCTAAATTATATGACCAAAAAAAAATTCTATCAAATAAGTGAGACTCAAATGAAATAGTTGTTGGAAATTTTTATTCAACGTCCCTTTCTACTGGTTCTATGATTATACCCGTTCATTTTAGTATGATAACTTTTTTTTATACTATTTTTATTTCCTCTCATCTTTAGCAAGGTGTGGAAAGGTTAGTCCTCTGTTAGGTTGGATTAGTTTAATAATCTGAATAAGGGGCATTAATGTTTAGTTGTAGCAAAAGTGAATGCTAAATTCCACATTCTAATATGATACTTAACCAGGTTTTTTGGGAACTTGCAGTTGATTGCCAGTGTAAGAGAGTTAAATTATATGACCAACAAAAATTCGCCTATCTAAATTATATGACCAACAAAAATTCGCCTATCTAAATTATATGACCAAAAAAAATTCTATCAATTACATGACACTCAAATGAAATAGTTGTTGGAAATTTTTATTCAACGTCCCTTTCTACTGGTTCTATGATTACACCCGTTCATTTTAGCATGATACTTTTTTTTATAATACTCTTTTTATTTCTAATGTAGACACTGGTTTTAAGATTACACCCGTTCATTTTAGTGTGATAATTTTTTTTATAATACTTTTTTTATTCTTAATGTAGACACTGGAAGATGCATTTAATAAGTTGGAAGGTGTAACATGCAATAAGGCAGAAGGTGCAATGTATCTCTTCCCCCGAATTTGCCTGCCTGAAAAGGCAATCAAAGCTGCTGAAGCAGCAAAAACAGCACCAGATGCATTTTACTGTCACCGTCTCCTCACTGCTACTGGAATTGTTTTTGTTCCTGGTTCTGGCTTTAGGCAGGTGAGTTGATTGCTGCCATTATGTTGGCTTTATTTGGTTAGGAACTTTGGGGTATTTTTAATTGCAGTTCTGCTTTCAGAAGTTAGGAAGTAGATTTTTTTTTTTCTGAATTTTTAATAGGGCCTAAGTCCTCAAGTTTGATCAACATGCATGCCATCTAAGCTAATACTTAATTTGCTGTTTTAATTTAGTGAAGTATAAATTTAAAGATGAAAAGGAATCTGGTTATGGGAAATGATAATTTAATTGGATCAACTTAAATATTTTGAAGGCCCCTTGGTGACTGTATTACACTATTATTTGATAATTATTAGCATTTCCGTCGGGTGGTTTAGGATGCCAATTAATTCAAACTTTCTCATATTTACCAATAATTGACATGTGGTATTTTGTCATAGGTCCCTGGCACTTGGCATTTTAGGTGCACAATTCTCCCTCAAGAAGACAAGATTCCAGCTGTTGTCACCCGTCTAACAGATTTCCATAAAAGTTTTATGGATGAATTCTGTGACTAAGTCTAAAGGTAGACATGGTAAGAATTCTGAATAAGACGTGCCCTTTTCTTTTTCATACAGATGCATGGACACCAGCGTTCTTTTTTTTCCTTTTTTTCCCATTCAATGGAACAACACACCAACTTTGTTGACTTGTTCACCGAGTCTTTACAATTTTAATATCTTAATAAAAAAACCATGTGATCATTTATTTATAACAATGTTCACTCTTGTAACTAATATACGAGTATTAAGGCATAACGGTGATGTTTTTGCTGTTCTAAATTCAAGAGTATGGTGAACGATAGATTTCCTCTTTGGAGTTGGGGGTTATGACAGACAGAAATGTGATTATTGTCAATAACTAATTAGGAGAAATAACTCACCCGGAACCCACCGATGAAACCACCAAACAATATTTTAGATTATCAGAAGGTATATTAGTGACGATTTTTCGAATGAGATCGAAGTAATTCTTGTTATTCCACAAAAATGAGAGGGTAAACTGACTTTAAAAAACAATGGGTCAACCACACGCTAGAATTTGAGAACGCAAATTAAATCCAATTCAAAGGTTCTTTTCTGATCAGTTGTAATTAAATTATCCAACTAAAGAGTTGATGAGTTAAGCACCACACCAAAAATAAGGTTTCACAGCTTGAATCCCTAGAAACAAATACAAGCCTCTCCCCCAACTCATGTATCATTATGACAGGAAAGCCAGTCGCATGGGAAGATTGTTTATGACAAAGCATACTCATAGGCGAGAAATGACGGCTTCCACCTCTGAAGGGGTGTATAGATGGTATGTTGGTGCTACCTTGGCAATATCAACATTGTTGGGAGTCACCTGTAACAATGTATTGTTCAATAACCGAGAATTTGTCAGTAAAAATAAACAAATACATACAGTTCAATCTCAAAATTGCATATATTTGATGTAAAACTTTACCTTTTCTTCCATTACTTGTTTCAAAATGGACAGAGCAATCGTTTCAGCATCTTGAAGAGTTAGGTCCTGCAGGGGGAAAAAAATTCATTGTTAATGTTAATCAGCACCAAATGACTCATGAACATACAACAGAGTCAAAGCAATGAAACTTATATCGTGACATGGCATACTAATTTTAGTTATTTAGACATTGCAGAAATGGATATCCTAAAACTTAATAACAAGTAGACTCCTAAATCAATCAAGTTACCAAATTAAGCACTCCCAAGAAAGAAAAACAACATACAACAGAAGTGAAGATACCTTGTTGTATTGCTCTTGGAAAGAGCTGTCTGCACCTTCAGAACCTGAACCTATAGCTTTTGCATTGCATTGCCAAAATGTGCCAGAAGGATCAGTATAGTATCTGCAAAAGAGAAGTTGGAAGCAACTGAGAATGATAGACCTAAGTCAAAGTTGATTAAGTGAATGCAGTGTTTGATGTGTGACAATGAAATCTTGGATTAATAGGTTGGGGCATGGAAGCCATATCATGTGCACGATAAATTACCCATCTAAGCTTGTTAAGGTGTTAACTTCTTAAAGTTTTACAATCTAAAACTAGCAAGCAGTCATAAGCATGTACCTTATAATTATATCTCTAATAAAATGTCACAAATGAATATATTTGGAAACCAGCCGACCAGATCATGGGAACTGTTTTAATTCTGATAGCAGTAATTGTTAATAGGTGGTATTCTTCATGGCAGTTCCATGTTTAAGTTTTAACCAATCAAAATTGTGATAATACAGTGACGTGATTTAAAAGAAATGATGGTCCTAAAAGTGCTAGTAATGCAACAAAAATTCATTCGTCTTTCTCATATGTTGAAAGAGATTTTTCCATAGGAAAGCCAACACAATGTAAAACCATCTGATACTTACAAGCTAGGTCCATTCTCATCATGACCAGCAATGAGAAGAGATACCCCAAATGGTCGGGACTGCACACAAAAACATTACCATATGTTAATAATCACTTCAAAAGTAATGTCACAGGCAGAATTCTATATCAAATAGCAAAAGAAACTTAATGCACGATTACACGAGTCAGAAAAGATATGCAAGTGTACCATGGATTCTTCATCTCCTTCACCAAATCGAAGGGCCAGATCACAAAGAGCTTGTGTTGTGGACTCTACTGTCATTGGCTCACCATATGAGAATCTGTGGTTCTGTGTGAATGTAAAAGATATCAACATAAAAATTACATATCAATTTATCAAAGAGTAAAGGCACTAACAACTATGGTACCTGAGTCTCAACTCGTGCATGTTCAACAAGTGTACGAGCATCAGCAATCAACCCACTCATAGCACATCCTATATGCTCATCAATTTCCATAATCTTCTCAACACTGCTAGGTTCCTGAAAGAGAATCCAGTACCTATGAAGACTGAAAGACGTTGCAACAATCTCCATTCCACAAAATCTAATATATGTGACACATGCTACGTGCTGGATTTGTGGTAGCTTTTAACAAGAAGGGTGTAGCTTCAAGTGCAAAAGCATTTAATCACAGTAAACAAGTGGCAGGGAAAGGAATCTTAGGGAGTATGGAATAGCATATTGAGAAGAAAAAAAAGGTAGCTACTAGTTGAATAGAATAATCTGCATGTCTTAGGGATTACATCACATTGAGCTGACATATTGCGTACCATATTATGGGAGCAACAATAAAGTGGGAGTATAGGATGACTAAGCAACTGCAAACTCTGTTGCTCGCACCCTGATCTTCATTTCTAGAGTTGAAAATCAGCCAACATTCACATGTATGTAACTGAAGACTTGGTTATTTGTCAAAAGAGACTCCTTAAGACCCTAGCAGCTAGCTATCAGTTCCTTTATTCTTCAAGGAACTCCACATCTTAAAAAAGCCACCCTCTCATATTACAATTTTGCAAAGAAAACACAATAAAGCCAAGCAAAAAAGAAAGCCTTTTTCTTCAATTACAAAGAGTAAAGGCCAATTATACAAGTAACTAGCAGAAATATTTTGCAGATATAATAACATTAAATCTGGTAAGAGTGCAGTGCAGACCAACAGTGGTGAAGTAATACGCTTCTCGACAGCCAGCACGACACCTTCTTTTGTCTTCAACCCAATTGCAGTTGAACCCAGCTGCAGTTCAATTAAAAAAAAAAAACCAGTTTTACATTAAAACACACCCAAAAAATTGAAAGAAAAAAGGCCAACACCTAGCTAGCTGTGAATTAAAGTACATGATGTAAATGTTAATGGCAACAAAATTTCCCTTGAGAAAACTCTAAGAGTTGGGTGATTTTAGAAGGAAACAAACAGAAAAATGTTTTACCTTGATGGCCTCAATAGCATATTCGACCTGGAACAACCTTCCCTCCGGAGAAAATGTGTTCACCCCACGGTCATACTCAGTCCTTCACAGACCAATCAGCAAACATTAAAAAAAAATTATCAAACTTTAGCAGTAATAAATATGGTTTGATTTGGTACCTGGTGAGAAACATGTTTGGATTGATTAGATGTTAGATCTAACAAAACCTGCAGAAAAAACCCACAAAATTTAGTTTATTTCTGGAAAGAAATTTAACTCGAAAAAGAGATTTTGAGAGTGATGATTTACGGTGATTCACTTGTGAAAGAGTATGAGAGAGAGAGAGAGAAGACGAGTAACGAGACGGAGTAAAATGTTGGTGCTTCTTGTAAAGTCTTCTTGCAAAACAAGCCATGCCATTAAACGATGTTGGACCAGGTCGTTCATAATGAACACCCACTCTTTATTGGGCTAGGCTGCATGTTGTTACCTCAATCTGATGTCCAGTTTGGTCCACGTAAGTTGAGTTGACAAAGATCTGCCCAGACCCAAGAATTTGAGGCTTTGAAACCTCTTAGGAATGTGTTTAGAAAAAAGAAGTAAATTAAATTTTTTTGAGGAAAAAAAAATAAATCAATCCCACTGAATTGGAAATATTGAAGGTCAATATATAAAATTAAATTAATTTTTTATGCTCTTGGTTTTATGTGTTTTTTTGTTGTTTGCGATGTTTTTCCTTCTTCATTTGTCATAATAATATTCTCTCCATTCCAATTTGTTTAATTTATATTAATTTTTACGGAGTTTTTTTTTTAAATTGATTTTAATATATTTAATATTAAAATTACTTTTTTTATAAAATTAAAATTTCATGATTATTAATGTTAAAAAGTTAAAAAAATCATAAAAAAAACTTTAAAATATAAAAAGGTAAGAGTTTTAAATGATTAAAAAAAGAATATAACATAATTTTGGAACATTAAAAAAATTTAATAAAAAAAATGGGATAAAGGAAGTAACATTTTTTATCCGCAAAAATGGACTCAGACATTTACCGTATCATTTCCTAAGATGCTGTGGCAGTGCATACTCCACAATGTTGGGGTTATCCGGAGAAAAAGGCTTAATGTAATTTTGCTGCAACAACAGAGTGAAAAACAATGGGCTGGTGAATGAGAAAGCAACAAGACCAAAGCTACTACAGCAAAACTTTTATCATCAAAGCTCTAGTCTTCTTGCATGCGGAAAAACGAAAATACGTGGATGTTGTTGCCTTGTTGCTATCTGGGGATATTTTTCTCTTTCATTTAATTTGTGGGGAAATATGTCTTGTGACAAGAGCAGCTTTTGTCTCCCGGGATGTCGAAAGCCAGGTTTTGAGGTGTAGGGTATGACCACTTGTCAATATATGGTGAATACTGTCTAATGATTGGCTCTAGATTATGAAACAGGGAAGAGCTCTTTGATTTTAGGGAAGCAATTTTAATCAACAGTTTCTCATTAATTCATCAAAATTTTTGTTGCAAATGCGGCATGAACAAAACCATATCTAGATATTTCCCTTCTGAAATGGTGATTGGTTACACGGATTCTTTATTTCTTTTGTTGTTCCCCAACCAAAAACTTGACAAAACTTTGTGGACATTCCTCTTCCATTGCCCTCACTGTCTGGTATTGTTCATATTCTTCACAATTGTACTCGGTTGGTGTTAATGAAAACAATTCATGTCACCTCCAATCCTAGATTTAAAGATTGGCATTGTCATAGATTAGTAGAACCAAAATCTAGTCTATCTCCAGAGTTTCAGGTCAACAAGGAATGCAATAATCAGTGGGTTACAACTTAAAAAGAGCTGATGGGATAATTGATTTACAAACTATCGATAATAATGACTCAAATTTTATAAAAAATTTATTTGAAATTAATTAAATATTATTTGATGAAAAAAAATGTTTGAAAAAAAATTTTAAGAGGAAAAATTTTTTAATAGACAAGTTTGTGTTTAACAAATACGTAAAATTTTTATAGAATTAGGTATGAAAAAAAATATAAAAGAGTTATAAGTTTTATAAGATAAATATTTCATAAGACTACTAAAGATTTACGTTTTATAGATGTATATGTTTAAATATTTGTGAGTGAGTTAAAAGTGACTAAAAAAGTTCACATAAATATAGTGTATAAATGTATACGTATGTTTGAGTTGAGAATATTTTATAAAATTAGAAAAAATTAAAAAAGTTTATAAGTATTAATTGTGAATGCTTAATTTGATTGTATATTTATAATTTTTTATAATTAGTATATCTTTTTTTTCTTTTATAATCATAAATCGATTGGATCGAATTACGTTAAATTATTCTCTCGTGTGATTATTTGATTTTGTTTTCATTTATTTAATTGATAAAAAAATTTTCATCTCATAAGTGTCATCAAAAGTGTTATGATCCCTGACACAATCAATTGATAAAGAATTGGTCCACACGCATTATCAGACAAGTTTCTTATGCTTGTCAAATAAAAAAAACAAAAACATTAAAAAGACAAGGTCCTTGTGATGGGTCACAACCAAAATAATTAGAAGATAGAGGCAAATGAGTGGCACAACAATCGTCATGTTATTGGCACAGCATCACAAATTGACAATGAACAAGGCAATTTATGTACCACTTGTATCAGAAATGGTGAAATTTTGATGAAAGATCCCATTTTTGATAGTTCTGTCAATATTGCTACTGTTATTGATGTGATTTTTCTGCATAAACGCTTTGCAAGAATGAGGTTTTGGGAATTTCCTTAGAGTCCAGAGAGATACACAATGGAGATCGGAGATGATCTATCTTTCGAAAATCTTCATGCGTGGCTGTTATTGCAAGGGAAGCAACCACATGAGCTGTGGCCAGAAATATTTGAGTTATTATTGTTCATTCTCTTCTGCGCCTGCTGAGTTGCCCTTTGCATTTGCTCAGCATGTTGTTGCTGGGCCGCTGCTCTCCATTCCTCAGCTTTTCTATGAACAACTGCCATTCTTTTCATTAATTTCTCTTCTAAGTTTGATCTCATCTTTTGTATTTTCACCTGAAAAGTTCAGTTCAGAACATCATATACCAAATACAATGTCAGTCCACGAAGGGATTATCCGCACATAATAGAATAAATCCAAGTCAAATGCTTGCATGACCCTGAAACTAATGAGGTGTTAGGCTACTGGGCCATGTTAGTAATTCCTGTTCTTTTTTCTGAATAATCTTCATTGGCTGTATACACCCTGTTTGGATAGGGTTTAAACTAATCAGCTTCTTAGCCGTCATTATCTTTTGCACTACAGATTGTTGGCGGAGTGCAGGAGGCAACAAGTGGACAAACAAGGAGTGCAACCTTAATTAAATAGGCGGAAGCTTATTTTATTCAATAATACCTAAAATCCAAGTTTCCAAGCAGGAGACAACCCAGCTTAAGTAAATATTCCAATTCCCCACGGATTTCTAAATGCTTGATCTTCACATGGGCTTACAAGTTACAACCACCACAGTAGCAATATAAAAATAGGGACTTGGGTACTTTTAGCTTTCTTCGTATATATTTAAGAGAGAAGGATGCAGATAAAAGCATATTGAATTGAGGGTAGACACTCCAACAGAGGTGGACTAGTCAAGAAAGCAAGAGATGAAAGTGTCTTAGAGTTGCGAGTGGCTCGAGGAAGAAAAAATCCATTAATAAGTTTGGATAACACTTCCAAAGATAATCCACATAGCACATTCAATTGACGAATATGCATAGAATGCACAGATAAGCTTTACTCATATTTAATTTCCAATGTAAAAACAAGGCCTCACCAAATGACTACAATCATAACTATTAACCCGTAAAGGCATCTCACTTATTCCTTTTGATGTACAAGACTTCGTTAGCAGTTAAAGATAATTGCATCATTAGTTGCTGTGCCAGTTGCAGTGGATGAGAAAATTCAAAATTGCAGCAAAAGAAATTTGGGTTCAAAGGCAACCATTTAACTTTAAAAGTATCAATATCATGAGTTATAGTACAACAAGTGCTAGAATAGGAACTAGTCATGAGATCGAGAAAGTACCTCAAGCTTTCTTGATTGAGCTTCTGCTTTGGCACTTTGAAGGTTCAGCCAAGCTTGGATTTTTGCTTCCTCTCTCTGATACCTGTGACACAAATAATAGTCATTACTGATATGCTACGTAACAGAGATAATGATAATAAATATTTTACCTCATTACCTCAGGCAGAATTTTGTCCTTTCCTCTTCTTCCCATGCAGCTCTTGAATCGGAAACACTTTTCCTGTATGCACTGCCTGTTTCGAAATGTCTAAGGCTCTTTGATACTTCTTCCTCCTCCTCTTCCCTTGAGCTCCAATTGGATGTGATAGAGTCATAATGCGTCCCCAGTTGCAGTTTAGCTAGATGATATTCTTGCAGCTGGGAAATGTCAATCGTGATATTAGAACTATTGGAATTAGCGGATGCCAATGGACCTGACCTGTTAGCTGGTGTGTTATGCCGTGCAGGTGATGAGCTCTTGAATGGTGTGTGGCATCTAGAAGTTGTGGAACTTCCTAGTGGAGTCATCTCAGTCCCAACATTTTTATGTTTAATCTCATGGGATACTTCAGTGCCTGCATCTTTCATGGTTTCACAGTATGAGTTTCTGAAAAGAAACCGTTCTCTTGAGGGCTCCGAGTATCCGAAATTTGGTAAAATTGGTTCTACCTCATCCGTGAACTTATCTACATTAATGATTAATAAAATAAAGTGTTGTTCAATGTTAACCAAAATTTATACCAAGTCCTCTCCAATTAGTATAATTTATGTATAAAACAGTGATATACTAAATATAAGCTTTCAAGAAACTATTTCACACTCGGCATTGGATGGATTGCCGTAATCACAAGGGAGAATTTTATTGATGAAGAAAATATTGCAGTGTCTGGTTGTAGAGTTAAACTAAATAACAGTTCTGCACATGGGGACTAATTGTGTTTTTCAGCTCGAAATCGAAAAAGGTAAACCACAAGATTCAAGACCCCATTTTCTTTATTCTTTATGGAGAGGGAAAAAGAAGATAAAAAAGAAGCCTAAATTGTTGATTCTAATCAAAGCACTGACAAACCATTCTGGATTTTGTTTTTATCTGAAAAGGAAAGTAATCAAACAGTGGAACAGTTCAAAGTACTATTAAGCTTATAAAAAGGCAAAAAGGGAAAGAAAAAGACTATCATAATGACCAAAATTTTGGTTAAAGTTGAAATGTAGTTAGATCCTACCTTTTAGAAGGACATCTGCAGAGCCTGGGTTTCCACTAGAACCTGGGGTTGGATGATGGTGTTCCAAAGAAACTGACCCTTTAAAGCTTGTGACAAACTTTGTAACCCTTTCCTCAGTGACCCTTGATTTCTCAGAAAATACCTCAGTTTGATGCTTAAAGTTATCACATTGTTTAATCATCTTTGATGATTCAGGTGGTGGCTTTAGCGTATGGGCAGGAGACTCATAGCAAGAGCTGCTGATTAACCATTTCTCTGCATCATCCCACTTTGAAGGAAAGCTCTTCCTAGCATGATTGCCACCACTGAAGCTGAAAACTGGCCTACCTGGTGTAGAAGGAGCTTCCAAAACTCTCCTTTGTGTTGTGACTGAGTTCACTCCTTCTCTTCTTCTCTGAATTGAAATATCCAAAAACCCTCCCCCTCTGCTATCTGTGTTGTTATTAGAAGTCGCCATTGGAAATGACTTGACAAACTCAGATGTCTCCTTGAGATTAAGCTTGCAAAGTGGGTCAGGAAAAGTGTCAGCAAATGGGTTGTCCTTGCTTTGTCCATAAATGCTTGCATTAGTCTCCAGCGGTTGTCCATAAAGACTTGCATTACTCTCCAGCGGTCGGTCCTGAATTAGATGAAAACAAATGTTATGACAGATAAATAAGAAAGACGAGTAAAACAAATGCGGGATCTTTAAGTTCATTACCCCATTAGATGGAAATGAAGGTGGAGCTTGAAAGTATTTGGGACCCGCAAGATCCATGTTTTGTTGAAGATAACTGATTTTGTGCTTAGCTAGAAGAATTTTCTTGGATGTACAGCAGTTTTCTTTTCTTTTCGGTGACTTTGGTCAAGTGGATTTGCCCAGCCACATCTGTTTTGATATGCTAATACTACTTCAACCGTTTCATGAGAAAGCGATTGGAGAGAGTCTCCAACAAAGTTAGCTCTTCGCTAAACAAGAAAAAAGCTTTGACTACTAGAAACTATGGACCAATAGACTGTTCATGAGACCCACATGGGATAAACACTTTAACAAAGCTTTTATCTCTGTCTGAATGCATCTCCATTTCAAAATGAAACAACAGTGACACATTGTCCTAGTCTCACAGAATTAGACAGAGAAGCTAGGAGACGAAATAGTACTTCATCAAAAGAAGAGGGACTTTGGGAGGTGAACATAATTTAATACTACAACAATGGTTAGGCCCAAAAAAAAAAAAAGAGAACCCTTGAGTTCTTTACTCCTGAGTCATCAGTTCTGAGCTGCATTCCTGCCTTTAAAGCAAAGAAATGACAAGATGAAGGAAATTTTTTATTGGTTTATATATGTCTTTGTATTCTTTCTGGGAAGCTTCTTATTGGATTTTATCTCTAGTTCAGATTGAGTATTTCGTGGTTCATGGGCTTACAAGCTATTGCATTGCAGGTAAGCACTAGTTAGAACTTTTGTCTCTCTTTGTCCTTCCATCCATGTTACAGAATCCTTTTCTTTTATTTTCTTTTTTCCTGAAGCACTTTCCATTGTCCTCTTTAGTTTTAGCCTTTTAGGATAATTTCTTTTTGAAAGAAAATTGATTCTTTGAAGTTTGGATAGTTGGGAGTTGGGACACATTTCAGTCCAAATAAATACTACTGCTAGGCCTAGGTAAATAAGCATCTCTTTCAAATTTCAGAAAAACATACTGAATCATGTCAGTTGACATATACATATACTATAATTTAATAAATACAGTGTTTAGTACTTTGGTTCATTAGCATCTAGGGTAATACAATTATGTTGATTGTTGAACTCTTTTTTTTTTTTTTTTTGGGTTCTAGGAAAAAGGTCTACAGAAATCATAAAAAAAAAGCTATATTTAAACACCGAAAGTATTGAGGCTACTGATCATTCATGGTTGATAAAGAGACTCATTGCCACTACTTAAAATTGATTTGGTTCATCTGAAACAAACCACCAACAAGTTTGATCTGAAATTCCAGCTCACTTTAATGTCATTTAAATCAATTGTATAGAAGTAAATGATGATAATACAGTTTGATGGTGTTTTGAGATCTTATGTTCAAGTTTTAACATAGAGTTGAAGAACATAAAGAAACAGGAAAAAAATTTTTTTTTCTAATATAACCAAACTAGTGCATAAAAACGAGGATAAAAACTGAACATAAGAAGCTGTAAAAAAAAAAAAAAACCAGGGTAGAGGAGCTAGAGTTAAATAAGGATAGGCCCAGAAAGGAGGTTAGCTCATAGTTATGGGATATAAACCTAGGACCAACCAGGTAGTTGAACTTGAATCCATAGTAATTGGGCTTACCAAATTTTGTTATGTGTTTAAGTCTAATATGATAAGATTTTGATTTTTCTTATTTGAGTATCCGGAATTAAAAAATTAAGAGTTGAACATTTCGCTAACAGATCACTTGATTGGTCAATATGATATGAATGGCTGAATTGAATGCCACCATTTTCCCAACATAGAAAAAAAAATTATATTTCCATACTATCTATGCTCCTTGGAACTCCTTGCTGATCTTATATACCATTTGATAAAGTAGTTTCTGTTGACAAAAGAGGAACTAAAAAGAAGAAAATTCCATATATAACAAAGCAGTGGATATTGAGGTTAAATTGATAAGATGATCTTGCTCATTGATCTTCTAAACTTAAATGATTATCTCATACCAAATTATTTTCGTCAGCATCAAACAAAAGCAAAAGCATGCAATTTATAAAGGTTTTCCTTCTCTTTCAAAAACTTTTTTGGTGACATTTTGTTGGATCACAAATCTAGGTTCAGTGATTGAATAGAGAAGAAGATAGGAGTGGTTAGAACAAGATCTAAGTTCTCAATAATGGGGTCTAATTTCTTGGTTTCCAACCTGCATTCAAATGGATGTAAAGAGTATAGTTTTTTTTTTTTCCATTTTTTTTCATTCTCCGAATAAAATTATAGGTTTTGAATTTATAACTGTTTCTCTTCTCCAATTATCAGTCTGCCTTTACACACCTACTAGAAGGCTAGAAATGCGATGGGTTGGTAAACAGATAATGGAAAGAGTACTGCTCCAAATAAACATTTCTGCTTTGCCTACGTGTAGCCCAAAGAGTGCCAAACCAGCAAGCATTATTTGACTCTTTCTAAATGAATTTGATACCACAAGAATTATAATATCTTATCATTTAATTTCCATGATTAAACTTAGATGTAATCTTAATGCTTACTTAATGACAGTTTCAAGGTCCACTGTTGTCAGCATACGATAAGAAATTACATTAATCAATAGTTTAATGGAAATTCTATGGCGTAATACGTATGCTTTCCGCTATTGTTGATGAACAGGTTTTACTTGGGGGAGATTTTGCTTTTTCAATTTTGACTTTTGATAGAAAAAGTTAGAAGAAATTATACAAAAATAAACAGTTGAGGTTGATTGATGGGAAAATTTTTATAAAAACAGGTAGAGAGTGCTGCAATTGAAAAAAGTATAGTTGCTGTGGAAGAGAAATCAAAATATCCACTGGGAAGAGATAGCATAGCCTTGTTAGCATGGATATTTCTATCTTTTCAAATGTCCATCAATCAGGTTCTTATTTTTTTTTCCTCCAGAATTCGAGACCCTTTTCCATTGAGATGTTTCGAACAGATGTGACAACAGGTAACTGTTGTGTAAAAACGTCAAAAATCAGTTCAGTTTGGTTCTAAAATCAGGTTCCATATTTTTACCTAGAAATGTCAAGAAAAGTTGTAGTTTCATATATGCAGACAAGAAAACGAAGGGAATTAACTCTGAAATAATGTGAGTAGACCCACCAACAAATTCGATAGAAAATAAGATGCTGAATCAACATGAGGCTGACTCAGGCTTCCTCAGCAGTAACATGTAGAAGATTAGCAACAAGGAACCCATTTACATATAAAAAAATTCTGATTATAAAGCCATGACAAGACATTAACCTCCTAATAATTGAATATGGTAACCGATGCTTTGTCATTTTCCTTCGTCTTAGCTTTAGTTTTTCCTTCCTTAGTCTTAACAAAAACTCTCTGCTCTTCCTTTCATTCCCCTCCTCCTTCCCTGTAATATGAGATCAATGTCTGTAACATGTTCTTTTCCTCTTCATATTCCAGTTAGAACGTCTAGTCCACTTATAAAACATGCCAACAAGATCGTGATGCTTCAACACAATCAAGTTCCTGGCAAGAAAGCATCCACACTTCAGATCAGATCCTTCGCCAAGAACAAGGTCAACTTCTTTTTCTTTTCCTGTTAGTATTCCAATTCATATATTCTAGCAACCCTTGTCTTCCATGTTTCTTGTTACTGAAGCTAATGAAATCTTTGCAACTGAGTAGTACCCGTTGGACAAGAAACATCATATAGATTGTCTGACCAACATGAATGTTTGAATGTCTGCCTCATCTTTTAATAGGTATTCGAGGATCAGTCTCAGGGTATAATCTGCTATAGAGATGAAAATGGAGAAATAGTTTGTGAAGGGTACGATGAGGGGCCTCGTTTTCCTCAACAGATTCCTGGAACATCTTATCATCTGAGGTAAGAACCCTGTTTCTGGTACCTTGTTATACCGTATTCAAATTACTTTGACCTTAGCTCCTGTAGTCTAAAATGAAGTTTTTGCTAATGTTCTGAACCCAGAGATGCTGAGATCCTTGATCTTCTTCAAGATAGATGGCTTCAAATTGTTAATGGTGGCGGAGTCAGCAATGCTAATAAAGGTGTTATCATTGCGCAAGATGACTCCAAGTGAATGATTTTAACAAGTTCCACTAATAGAAAGCCTGCCTCTTACCAGATTCCACAGATTTCATGAAATAATTGTTTCTACAGCATGTAACAAGAAAGACACTCCAAGTATTAGAGATTGTATATAGATAGCTAAAAAACCTATTTCTCTTGTAATCACTTTGTTTTTGCATTATGATGATTAAAGCTCACAGCCCCTTTGGGTTTTTTTGTTATTTTTCAATCGATTACAGGCTAACAGCTGCCTTGCATAGATTCTTGTATCCTAAAATTTGACTGTAGGGACTGCCATTTATGTGATAAATGGTCAAACAAATCAAAGCTTGGAACCTGTCATTGATGTTTATAATAGAATAATTTGATTGCTCTGATTTATCACTCGTCTGGCAAAACAGGATCTTCCCTATTATCGTATACAATCATTTGATTATTTTTTTCTTTTTTGGCAGTTGCTGACCATATTGTACATGAAAATATATCAGCAAAAGATGAATCCTGCAAACACTTAATAGCCATTCAATTCTGATTCATCCTGACCAGTGTGTAATAAGTACATGACATGATGACGGGAATCACAATTCCTTACATCACATCAGCATTAACTTTTGTAAATGAAAGCCACAGCAATTAACAATGAGAAGGCAACATGTACGCACAAGGGAAGAATATATGAAAGACTGGGAATTCACCAAAAGAGTCTAATTCACTGTGGTAGAAAGGTTGACATAAAAAACATGTACACGATGGAATGCTAAATACAAGAACAACTATTTTGTACAAAAATATCATGCAGAGATCAAGAAATATTGGACCTCAGACAGAAATTTCCCTGGCTTTAGACAGCCTTGTTTCGCATCTCCTAACAAAAAATTTATGGCTCTCTTTTGGTGTAAAAGAAAAATTGCCCTCCAAAAGAATTCAAAAATGGAAATCAGTCGTATGAACAAAGAAAAACAGAATGGGAGAGTTGACTCCCAAATTACATTTTTTAATATATAGTTACAGACTCATAGAATCACTTAACTGAGGTCCCGGTTTGTCCATTCTCTTCCCCTATATCTGACTGAGATCTGCTTGGAATGGTAGGAGGAGACCACTGATCTGGGATCATTAGAAAATAAGTTGTCATTGCTTTCCTGAACCTTTTCTTGTATTGTTTTGGTGAAATTACAGTTGGTGATGCGTTCTTTGGGCCACCAAGGATGCCTGAAGCCTTCACCCAAGTTTCAAGATGCTTATCCCAGGTATACTGCCTCAAGAAATCAATGATTCCAAGAACTAACTCATGCTTCTCTTCATCCACTCCAACCAGTAATGAATAATCCATCACATCGCTTGACTGCATGGTGGAAAAGATAAAGAAATGAGTAAAATTGGATGATGTGCACTTTAGTTAATGTAAATTAACAATGCATGAAATGCGGATAGATCTCCAGGCATGTAAACTATGCGCCTTCCCTTCAGTGGCCCATGCACACAAGCAAAGATTAAAACTTACTGCAAGGAAAGCAGCGTCATTCCAGACTGCTCTTTCCAACAACCGCTTTGCTTTATTATCCACAAAAATAGGGGAAGTCGACATTGATTCAATCAAGTTCTGATCTAGCAGAACCTTGTTGCTGCCACTAGAATCAGGATTATAACGAGATCTAGAAGATCCTTTGAGATCATATAGCCGTGTGACACTTCGTCTAAACAGAAGATTCTCCATAACCAAAACATCCATCCTTGATTCTTTCCCACCTTTAAGTTGCTTTGTTGTAACCTTAAAAGAAAAGATCAACAATAAGAAATAAATAATGATCCCAGAAAACATGTGCAATTTGCCATCTATAAATAAGTGAACACACTCTTAATACCATCTCATTCCTAAAAGCATGAAAAAGCAAAGGTCTTCTGCCCTTTCTAAGTCCTCTTGACCATTTTCATTCAAAAGTATCAGCAACTAGCATCAAAGACGAGGGCAATTTTTAAATCTTAAAAGATACCATGTTACCCTCGGAGATAGCTCTAACTTTCAGCTACTTCTTCTCAAGCATTTTCCTTCCTCAAATAGAAAAATGCTCTTAGCTTATATAAATGTCAGTACCTACATAAGTATAAAGAGGTCAAGCAGAGTCTTGCCAGAATGCACATGCAGATATTGTACAGGAGAAGCAGCAATGCTGTCACCTGACTGCCTAAGCCACCGCTTAACTTCCTAGTGGGCTCATAACACTTGCTGAGTTCTAGGTGGTAATGGTAGCAAAACCTATTGAACTCGCAAACTGAAAAACTGCATAATTTTGCATCATAATGCTTCAATTTTACACACAGGCAAGCTTCAATATGTAGGCTTATACTTTATTTATGCAAAACAACCTTATTTCTAAGCACATATTAAACAGAATAAGCAGTCTATTAGTTAAAGGCAACTATGGGTAAGTTCTGGCTTTCAGTTATTTGGGCATTAATAAGATATATTATGATAGCCAATATTACAGATAATGTCAGGATTGTTCCAGCATTTTTAAATGGTGACCAAAATTAGCAATTTGTCTTGTTTATCCAGTGGAATAGTGATTATGATATGTAGCATTAGAGCATCTAAAGCCATAGGAACAAGCACCTGATAAATACCAAGAATCTTTGCCAGGCATGTTGGACTTCCAGAACTAATTGATTCAGACAAGTACTTGAAATATCCAGGAGCAAATTTTATAAATGATTCCAACTCTGTCTTAGTGACTTGTTTAATGATAAACCGATCATCCAGGGTCTTTGCAAAGAAAACATTGCTCTTGCCACCCTGAGCTCCCCACTTCTTACAACGACTCAGAGACCTTACAAAATCTAGTTCGGATGGGCAACACATTCTTCTTAATGCTTCAAACCACTTTGCATAGTAACAAGTCACAGTATATTTCACTTTATCAGCTGACCCATCATCCCCAAAAGACACCCTGACATGCAAAGACTTCGTACAGGAGAGTGGGTCTATAATCACGGAGCTGCGAGTTCCAGTAAGGTCATCTGTTGAACCAAGACTTCTATGAGGATCAAAGGTCATCTCATCAAGAGAATGGAATGACTGAAAATTCACTGAATCAGGTAAGGATACTGAGGCCGTTAAATCCCCACTGTCTTTAGGTCTATCCCCATCATCACTTAGCTGGAAATGGTATTCAGGTGATGCTAGAGCATATGATATCATACTTGTGGGCTCATCATCATAAACTGGAATAACGGTGTCATTAGCACCCACAGGCAAAAGCAGCCTAGCCCCACCTTGCAGTTCCAACTCTCTAAACAATGAAACATAGACCGGATCATACTCACTGAATGTATCAAGCTTTGAAGCACTTCCTAAAATGTTTTTGTTCAGTGAACGGTAGAAACTTAAGAAAGGCGTTCTTAACCAGCTTACAGAGTCTTCAACATTTTCAGAACCTCTAGTGGACGATGCAGGTGAAGGAAAATGAAGAGCCTTTGGCACAATCTCTTCTTCAGAATGGTCTTCCAAATCTAACTCCTCTGTTTCTGCACCTAGAGCAGCAATATCTGCGGCAGCAGAATCAGAAAGTGAAAATGAAAATTTCTTAGGTTTTACAGTTTCTCGCTGAATTTTGCCTGTCCAAGCAGCATCAAGGGTATCTGACAAATTTTCTATAACAGGAAACTGGCCTTCAGACAGGACCCGCCGAACATTTGCCTCAGGTTTCTCATGGTCAGATTGGTCATACATGCTTTGGCTAGCAGAAAAATTACCATAGTCTTTGTTTCCAAGATTTGAATTTTCATTCATGTCTGGTTCTTGATGGATTACATCTGACAGATTAGTGTTGCCATTTAGTTTTCTTTGGTCAGAGTGCCTATTGAGCTTTGCATCCACAAGAGCAGAGTCACAGCATTCAGAGCCTTTTCCAAGTTCCAGCATATCCATATCCTTGTGATTCTCACTATCAGTGAGGGATTTCTCCTCATGCCCTGCAATTGAATTGCTGAAACTGTCCTGGAGGCTATAATTTTCTAAATTGGCTGCAAAAACCAGGCGGTGGTCCCACATATAAGATTGGAAAAGTAATTGCCTCTGCAACCGGTTAATTTCAAGAATATCAATAACAGGTTGCCCTTTTCTCACTTCCCTTTTCAAAGCCTTTTGCAATGATTCCTAAACCAAGGCCAATAACAATAAGAAAAGAAATTAGAAACAGCAATGAAATTTTGACATTTGTTTTTCATAAACCTTTTTCAACTCAAACTAACAGAAGCAAGGGAAATTTAACATTTTTTTCCAGTTATAGACCCATTAGAGTTTTCTCCTCTAAATATTTTTATCTACAATTTTCTGATATGTTTAGAGAAATTTCTAAAGGTTTTGTTCTTAAACAGAATTACATTGATTGAAAAATAATGCAACTATTCCCCCAAAGAAAAAGGCTTAATGGATAAATTCAAAGGGTTGTAATGGTTGAACTCTACACATGAATTTTTCAGAAAATATTTTTCGAATATCTAAACATCTTATATTGACAAGTACACAAAATATGGAGATAGAAATTTTCTAACAGTTATTTTAGCGCCTGAATTATCAGCAGTCATACTCATTGACTTTACATGGTCAACATAATCCACTGGCAATCAGGCATAGACATAAAATCTGTCTCACTAAAGCAAAAAATTACAACACATAAAGGAAGTCTCACCTCAAATTCCAGCTTCTCCTTTTGTAATATTCTTTCTAGTTCAGCAATTTGTTGTCGCAATTCAGGTGTTTTCGTAATCCTATTAGGTGGCCCTGTGCCAATTTTGTTTTCAGCAATTTTACTTAGGGAATTGAGTACTTCAGAAAACAGAAGTTCTGCCCGGTCAACCACCTGTTTATAACAATAAGAAAAAAAACTACATTACCCAAATGCAGAGAGATCCAAATTGGCTTCTTAATAAAACCAAAAATTTATCCTTGCACCTTATCTGTTTCTTTTCGTATCCACTCCTGATTCTCATAGCCAAAGTCAAGTTTTGGGGTTGGAAGGTACACAGAATGAACGTCAATTGATGCATACTGAAAGCAGGCAACCATTCTCCCAAATCTGCATATATTTAAATAGTGAGAGAGAGAGAGAGAGAGGGGTAGAGATGATGGATGAAGTTTTTTGCCACTAATAATTCCGGATATTTTATCAGCTAGATCATGACCTACATCATTCAATTATAATAGATCAAATTTATAATCAGCTCACTAGAACATTTACGAAGTCTCTAAGACCACTCAAAGTGTGGGAAAACACTTATTTACAGCTGGTTGTAATCTTGTAATCTGTATATTTATATTTGTATCTCTAGAATTAAGTATTTGTATTACTAGAATTAAGGAAGATTTAGTTTCCTAGTTTAACCCCTAGTTAGTTGTATATAAACCTAAGATTCTTGTATAATTGGAGATAAGCTGTTTTTCAATATACATTCAGTTTCCACATGGTATCAGAGCTTTAGGCTCTTCTTGGGAAGAAAAATTTTCAGCCTTCATTGCTGACTTTTTTAGGCCTTCATTGCCGAATCCTGTTTAGGCCTTCATTGCCGAACCCTTTCAAAGAAAGATATCACTATCACCCAATTTGAGGAAATGTTCACTGGGAAAATCACTGGAGTACTACAGATGTCTCAGAAACAAGGAGAGTTCAACAGGGAAGAGATTGAAAAGCTGACAAACTTATTGAAAATCCTTGAAAAGCCTACTATGGTATGTTCTTTGGGTAAAGTTTCTAGTTCAGGTAAAGCTTCCGGTTCTCATGGATTAAATGTCTCGGCTAAGCCTATTACGAGTTCTTGGGTCATTGACTCAGGAGCTACAGACCACATGACACATTCCCCACAAAAGTTTAGTACATATAACCTGTGTCCTAGTAATAAGAGAATTGTTGTTGCTGATGGTTCACTTACCACAGTGGCAGGATTAGGAGATGTTCAAGTTAATCCCTTGTTTGTTCTCAAAAATGTTCTTCATGTTCCTGAATTGTCTACTAATCTGATATCTATACAAAAACTTACCAGAGATATGAATTGCAAAGTAACTTTTTATCCCTCTTATTGTGAATTTCAGGACCAGAGTTCGGGGAAGATGATTGGACTTGTTAAGGAGAAGGATGGACTATACTATCTTGAGACATCAAATAACACAAGTAATATCAAAAATAGTTTACCTTTGTCATTTCTTTCTGAAAAATCTTCCAATAAAGACAAAATCTGGCTTTATCATTTTCGTCTTGGACATTCTTCTTTTGGAACCTTGAGAAACATGTTTCCTTCTTTGTTCAAAGAATTAAATGTTGAAGATTTTCATTGTGATATTTGCGAATTTGCAAAACATTAGACGTGTGTCTTTTCCAATCAGTAACAAAAGAAGTTTTACTCCCTTTTACTTGATTCATAGTGACATTTGGGGCCCCTCTACAATTCCTAATATTTCTGGTGCGAGATGGTTTGTTTCATTCATAGATGATTGTACTAGGGTCTCTTGGGTTTTTTTACTTAAATCCAAATCAGATATGAATAGTGTGTTTTTAAGCTTCCAAAACATGATCCAAAATCAATTTGGAGTAAGAATCAAGAGATTTAGGTCTGATAATGCAAGAGACTACTTCAACCAGAGTCTATCCACCTATTTCCAAAAAGAGGGGATTATCCATGAGTCATCTTATGTTAATACTCCACAGCAGAATGGAGTGGTAGAGAGAAAAAACAGTCATTTATTAGCCACAACCCGAGCCTTTCTTTTTCAAGCAAATGTACATAAATCTTATTGGGGGGAAGCTGTTCTCATTGCCACACACATTATAAATAGGTTACCTTCAAGAGTTTTGGGATTTAAAACTCCTATGGAACTACTCTCACAATTTTATCCCAACCTCAATATCACAAACAATCTCACACCTAGGATATTTGGTTGTACATCATTTGTTCATGTTCACAGTCATAACAGGGGAAAGTTGGATCCAAGAGCGATTAAGTGTATTTTTGTGGGGTATTCTTCAACTCAAAAAGAATATAAGTGCTATCATCCTCCTACCAAAAAATTTTGTGTCTGTAGATGTCACTTTTGAAGAAAATAAACCATTCTTTACTCAACCTTATCTTCAGGGGGAGACTTCATTCATGGAAGATAAGGATAAAGACTTCTTTTTGCTTGATTTGCCCCCTTCTTCAACATTTACACCCATTAATTCTTATGAGTCGAAACCTGTTTCTGCTGAGCCCATGTCAAACATTGAATTTGAGTCTGAACCCATTCCAAATACAAAAGATGTGATAAAGGATAATATTGTTCTTGATTCTATGAAGGAATTACAGGTGTACTCAAGAAGAAAAGTTTCACATCCTGAACCAGTGCCAGTCCAAGAACCTGATCCTAACTCTGGAAATGAGGTAACTATAGTTTTTGACTCTATTTCTCAAAATGAGCATGAATCTCCTAAACCTATAACTAGTGATTATGATTTGCCTATTGCCATTAGGAAAGGAACCAGAGAATGTACCAAGCATCCACTATACCCAATATCTAATTTTGTGTCATTTGAAAAATTCTCACCATCCCACAAAAATTTTATTGTGAGCCTAAACACTATTTCTGTTCCAACTACATTATCTGAGGCATTATCCAGTGAGAAATGGAGGCAAGCCATGAAAATAGAAATGGAGGCCTTAGGGAAAAATCAGACATGGGAACTGGTAGAGTTGCCTAAAGGAAAAAATTCAGTGGGGTGTAAATGGGTTTTCACTGTAAAATACAAGGCAGATGGTACTTTTGAAAGGTATAAAGCCAGGTTAGTGGCTAAGGGCTACATTCAGACCTATGGAGTGGATTACCAGGAAACCTTTGCTCCAGTTGCCAAGATGAATACAGTTAGGATTTTGTTATCATTGGCTGCAAATTTCAATTGGCAGCTTCAACAATTTGATGTAAAGAATGCTTTTTTACATGGTGATTTGGAAGAAGAAATATATATGAAGGTTCCACCGGGATTTGGAGGTCATCTAGAAGTAAACAAAGTATGCAGGCTAAAAAGGGCTTTATATGGCCTTAAACAGTCTCCTAGAGCTTGGTTCGGGAGATTTGCCAAAGTGATGCTAGCAATGGGATATAAACAGAGTCAAGGAGATCACACATTGTTTATCAAGCACTCTGATTCAGGGAGAGTCACAGTTCTATTAGTGTATGTTGATGATATAATTGTAACTGGAGATGATGAAAAAGAGAGAGAATCTCTAAAACAGTATTTGGCTAGAGAATTTGAGATAAAAGAGCTTGGGAGATTGAAGTACTTCCTAGGAATTAAAGTAGCTCACTCACGGCATGGTATTTTTATCTCACAATAGAAATATGTGATGGATCTTCTGAAGGAAACTAGGAAGCTTGCATGTAAACCTGCAAATACCCCTATAGATCCTAATCATAAAATTGGAGAAGCTAATGAAGATGCTGCTGTAAATAGAGAGATGTACCAAAGATTAGTTGGAAGACTCATTTATCTCTCACATACTAGACCTGATATAGCATATGTTGTGAGTGTGATAAGTCAATTTATGCATAGTCCTAAAGAAGTGCCTCTACAGGCTGTCTACCGTATATTGCACTATTTGAAGGCCAATCCTGGGGGAGGTATCTTATTCAAAAGAGATTCGGGGTTAGTTCTAGAAGCATATACAAATGCTGATTATGCAGGTTCAGTAACTGATAGAAGATCTACCTCAGGCTACTGCACTTTCTTAGGTGGTAATCTTGTGACTTGGAGGAGTAAAAAATAGAATGTGGTAGCAAGATCAAGTGCTGAAGCAGAGTTCGGAGCAATGGCTCAAGGAATTTGCGAACTACTATGGTTAAAGATTATCCTAGAAGACTTGAAGATCAAGTGGGATGGACCAATGAGACTCTACTGTGATAACAAGTCTGCAATCAGCATTGCACACAATCCTGTGCAACATGACAGAACAAAACACATTGAAGTAGACCGGCATTTCATAAAGGAGAAACTAGACAATGGGTTGATTTTTACACCTTATGTATCAACCAAGGGTCAACTTGCAGATGTGTTGACTAAAGGTCTCAGCAGTGCAACATTTCAAGAAATTATTTCCAAGCTAGGAATGGAAAACACCTATTCACCAGCTTGAGAGGGAGTGTGGGAAAACACTTATTTACAGCTGGTTGTAATCTTGTAATCTGTATATTTATATTTGTATCTCTAGAATTAAGTATTTGTATTCCTAGAATTAAGGAAGATTTAGTTTCCTAGTTTAACCCCTAGTTAGTTGTATATAAACCTAAGATTCTTGTATAATTGGAGATAAGCTGTTTTTCAATATACATTCAGTTTCCACACAAAGTCATGCTATGATTAATATCATCTGACAGAGTTTGTATGGCAAAAATAATTGATAATCCAAACAAAATATATAATGATGGTTAATGACACAATTTTGTCAAAAAAAAAAAATGACAAAATGTGGCGAACTATAATTCTATGGGTCAACAGCCTGAACAAAAGCCATGTTTTAGCACATTCTTTATGAGGGCAACTATTTGTACTCATATATGATATTTGGTTAATAAATAAAAAAACAATAGGAAAGAAAATTACCCATAGAAACGAAGACAATCTCTATGTAAAGAATGGCCACAGCTTGCAACCCTGCTGGCAGCTGCATGGTTTGAAAAACTCAGCTCCAAAAACTTCCCAAAAGATAAACCCCAAGCAGCATCAGACATCACTATTCTGTGAGTGGCCGGAGGAAAACCATTGGTCCTAGGACATCGCAAGCATCTGTGCCACATCCAGATCTTGCCCTCTCTTTCACCAGGTAAGAAAATGTCAGGGAGTTTCTTCACAGATATGGTGAGCGTTCCCTGTCGATGTGTATAACAGTGAACATGTGCTTCCGAAGGCATGTCACAAGAATGGCATTGGTAGCTCTGAAAAATCAGCAGTCTCCTTAGTTTCAAGAGAATTGCTGGGGTCAGTACGAAGAAATATATAAATGCGAGGGGGAGAAAATTTACCTGATCGAATAAATGATCCCGCAAAAACCGACCCAAAGGTTTATCAAAACTGCCATAGTACTTGATTCGAAAGAGATGGGATCTTTCGCAGACAGTCCCTTTCCACACACATCGGGATGATAAAGATGCCAAAATGCTCTGATTGTCAGAAGGTGAAGGAGGAAATTCTTCTTTTAATGGTCTTGGCTCCTCAGAATGGTTATTATGGTTTTTAATATCTTGTTGCACAGATGACACCTCTGAACCAACTGGTTGAATTTCAACCGCAGTGCTATGAGTCTCTTGGTTAGTGTGTGCCATAGAAAATTGTCCCAAAGATTCTAATGGCTGAACACCACTAAGAGTGAGACAATTCTTCATGAAAGCTGGCTCACTTTTGTCTCCAAAAGCTTCCATCATTAAGGATTCTTTGGAGCCCATTTCATTTTTCTTGGAAATTGCATCTGAAATTTTCTCAGAAGTAGATGATAAAATGGCAGTTGACTCTATCAAAGTGGGTCGTACAGACCACAAGCTTGCATCATTAGGTAAACAAGATGGCATAGTTTCTTCTATCTTCCGAATATTATGACTGATGATTGATGACGGAACACTGTTAGCTCTTTGTGGTTCACTACAATGTTGAGTTTCCTGCGGCTTTATATTGCCAGGAATAGTAAAACCAGGAACTGTTGATATGGACCTCACAATGCTTGATGGTTTATCCAGAAGTGCCACAGTAATTGGAGAGTTCAAAGGGAATTCTGGCAGAGAGGCTCCTTCATCAGCAAGAAATGACGTCTCCAAAGCCAAGTGATAAGCTGCAAAAATCCCATATTGGACCACATGCTTGACTTTCTTCAGTTCATCTCCATTTGCACCTCTAAGTAATATCTGAAGCAAACAGATATATATTCAGTTAGACTAATAAAATGATCCACCATACCAATAAATTTCACATAGACCCACAATATTGGGAACATAAATATTGTCTCCACAAAAAAAAATCAGAGTAAATTTTAATTTCATCTGCTGTTATTTTCCATTTTCTTTGGTTTTTGGTTAGTTTAAATAACTTACAGTGCAACCCAATGGCTTTGGGCAGCCTTCAAAATACATTAATGTCTTGACCAATTTCTTCCCTCCTTGTCCAGCAGATCCAAGATCTTCCATGAACCTCTCAACATGAAACTTTTCACAGTAACCCAGCTTCTGAGAAGAGAGATGATCAATTGAAGGGATTATTGGAGCACCTGTGCAGCGTGCAATGCGTTCTAACAATGGCCTCTTGATATTGAGAACAAGAGATATGTCTTTTTCAAGAAGATATTCCTGGGCAAATCGAGAAACTGCTTTCTCTACCAGAAGGATATTGGGTTTATGTGCATGTATCTTTGCTACAGCCATCTTCAAATGGTCCATTTCCTGGTTAAAGATGTCAAACCAATAACAAAAGACAAAAAGTAGAATTTAGAAAAACATAGTAGCTCGTGGAAATAAAAATCAGTAATCCAAAACAGAAAGAAACATATAAAAATGAAAAACCTGCTGCAACAAAGTATCAAAACTTGACAATAGGTTAGAGACCCGCTGGTATTCAAGAGCTCCACCAAGGATCAACAACCGAGGTTTCTCCATTTTTGAAGTCATTCGTCGATGAGCAACATTTTTCTTGCAAACAACTCCTTTGAGAACCATACTATAAGAGCCATAGCAAAATCAGAAATAGGAAAAAAAAATGTTCACAAACAGTGCAGTAGTATAGTTGAACTGAAATGTTAGTATCATGCAGCAAATGAAAGTGATGAAAGTGGTGCAACTGATAGTCTAATGTCAGTAATGTACTATTACGAAAAATTGCAGTTTACTCCTAGCTTGAGGTAGCAGATCTTGGCACGTTTAAGCAGGGGCAGACAGTGAGGTTTCAAAGGTTAAAAGAGAGGTATCTCCACCTAGTTGGCAAGCCAGTCCTGACTGTATCATCTAATTATTTTGTTTTTCAAATATTTTATCAGTAATTGATGACTTTCTCAAGTTGCTGCATCATATGTGAATGTGGACAAATGGAGAAGAATCATTCAAGTAAACAAGTTTTTTACATTTTGCTCATGATTTAACAGTGTCTATGGCAATTTAGTCGAATAAGATTGTTGATTGCTCCATCTCTTAATTATGATAGATCAGGAGTAATGAAAAGTTGAATTTATGTTGTTAAGTAGCATATCAAGAAAATCCTCGCACAAACTTCTCAGATTTACACAAGGTATTAAGTTAGGAACCTGCCATTCAGAAGCCAGACATAAGGCCTCAGTCTGTACTTCGTTCATATGCTGAAACCTTAAAGAGCAGGTCAAGGGTTGATAAAGACAGAACATGATTATCCGTTTTACAAACCAATCATAGTGGTCATCTCAGTGATTAACTAATTGAGATATTCACATTGATTAGAACAAAATGGTGTAAAGAGTCAAATAGAAACATTTATTACTCTTGTGTAGCATTTACCTCTCACAGCGATGTCCAGAAGCTATGCATTTCACTTTAAAATATCCACCAGGGTCCATCCCTCCCCCTTTGCTTCTGTCTGGCTTCAAAAGGGTAGCAGCCTCCCAAGAAAGAGCAGTGATGATCTCCAACCAGCCCTCTTCACCATTTTCATCACTCACAGGAAGGTCCTCAACCTGTAAAAGCTGAGCAACCAAGGCCCTAAAATGTCCATCAACTATATTCTTCATTGCTTTCTTGTGCTCCTCACTTGACCTTTCCCTAGTGCGAGACTCCCCACTTCCAAAGCTGCTTGAGTTACGCAGATGTCCCCACTCTCCTGTACCATCCCTATCATCATCATCATCAAACAGAGCAGCCTCCCTCTCATCTTCTTCATCTTCTGGTTCAGGAGGGAGCCAGAGAAGTCCATTATTTTCAAAATCTACAGACTCAGCAGCATATAAAGAAGATGATGCTTCACATTCATCCCCATCATGTTCATCTTTCTTAACAAGCTGTGATAACCCTTCTGAACCCGGTGAAGGAAAACCGTGGTTCATCGGAGAACTGCTTAAAGTTTTTGAGTCAATATTTTCTCTATGAGGATGAAATTTATGTGACCCATCATCATTGCTCATCTGATCAAAGTCAACAGGACTATAGTAGACATCAACAGGACTATAGTAGCCATTATCTTGAGAGAAAAGCTTTGTCTCAGAATCAGAGAGATATAAGCTGTAATCATCGTCCTCATCATCACTCCTGATGCTGAAAGAAAGCAAGCAACAGGTAAGTAATCAGAATAGCACATTGAGACCTTTTTCTCTCTAACTCTTCCAATTGGTTTAAATGGCTACTTATTTTTCCTTTCCCTTTCTCTATTTCCATTTTTAAGAGACCTATTCAATAGACAGTACTGATAAAAAGAAAAAAAAACAATAATACTGATAGAGATGCACAAACACATGTGCATTCAGATGTCTGAGGGCCTAAGACAAATATAAAGAATTAAGTTATGCTTGATCAATAGGCAAAACTTGAGAAAGAGCAATTAAGAGCGCAAGATCATCTGACCTGTTCAATGCAAACTCATATTGGTTAGAAGATGGATCTTCTGCATCCATAATAAGATCATTGCTCCTCTTTGGTGCACTCTTGTCAGGTCTATCCGTGCTTTTATTCATTGCAGACAGTTGATGAGGGTTGACAATAGACTTTGGTTGCACTTGTTGATATGGTCCAGCTGGATATGGCACTGAGCTAAGAGTAAAACTACTACTGTTAGCAGTGCCACTAGATTTAGTGCTGATAAAACTAGTGGCTGATGGTGAGGTACTAAGATCCTGGTTGGGCACCGGCACTCCATCATTAATAGTAGTTATGCCCTGCTCCCATTGCTTGAAACAATAATTACATACCCGAATCTTCTCCCTCTCTTCTTGGGGGATCCTTGAATCATTAGATGGTGCAGGAACTGAGTTTGCTGTACACTTGGCACAAAAAATTCGGCCACAGAGCCGACAATGGTGTCTACGATTAAATATTGTGAACTGGGAATCACAATCATAGCATACCCTGCAGCTATGATCAGGCATCCAAAAATCCCTTGACACATTAGCAGGCTCTGATTGCCAAGGGAGCCACGACTTTAGTAAACTAACTAGCTCAGAAAATGTCTTGTTAGGGGCATCCATCTAACAATGATCCTACTGCCCCCACTCATTATGCTATGTTCATCTGACACTCGTAACAAACCATAAACTAAATAGCATGCAATTCACCCCAAATGAAGACAAAATCCCACCAAGAGCAACAATAGAACTTTGAAAATTTTACGAATCAATAACCAACTATGTTGTCCAGCAATCCACCAAATCACCAATCAAAGTAACTCTTACTTCTCCATCTCATTCCCAGAATGACTATATAGTATAATATAAACAACAAACTGCTGCCAACTTCATTCAACCCTGATCCAAAACACTGCCCGGCAACCCAATCTACTCTATAATTCAACTATAATGAATTCAAATTTTCGACATATGCACCTGAAAATTCTTCTATCTTCAAATTCTTGAACCAAAAACTAGTTGAACAAAATCACAAATTGCAAGAAGGCAGACCTTACAAAGGGTCAAAGACTGACCCTCAGTCACTACAAATAAGATCAAAGCACGCCCTTTCTCATGAACCAACTCATACCCATCTGTCATCAATCACTCCCACGCGTAAATTAAACAAATCAAATATCCAGCAAAATATCATTTCCTCATTTCCTCATTACAACCAACAATAAATAAATCAATCAATCTTTCCCTTCCCCACAGATAAAAACAACAAATATATACGCAATTCAGGTTTACATACGAAACCGTTTTACCTCAAAATGCCAATCAACAACGTCATCATGAATCAATCAATGATCAATCTCATCAAGAATGAAGCAGCCAGCCAACAGATTCTCGCCAGGTCCGCAAACAGACCGTTATAAAGAAAAAAAAAAAAAAAAAGGTATGTAAAAGCCAAATGAAACAAAAAGCCACAGCCCAGAATGAGATTCTTTATCAAAAAAACAATAAAACGATAAAATTCTTGATCTTGATCATAAGCATCTCGTTCTCAATATCAAGAAAAGGAACCCCTCTTTTTTCTATTAAACAAATTTGTATCAAAACAACAGCTGAAAAAGCCTATGCATTGTTTCTATACAAAAAATAATCTGGGTATACTAAATATATATCTAATCTCACAATCTACAAAATTGAGTCAAAATTTTCTCTTTTTTTTCTTTGTTTTTTTGAATTTGTTGGCAGTGCTGATTCATATTATCTTGACCCTTTATCCTGTGGCAAAGAAAGCGACTATCCTTCAACGTGGGTACATGATATGAACCGTAGACTCTGCTGTATGTAAACAAAAATTGAATATTTGAGCAATATTTTTTTTGTAAAAGGACAAAAATGACCATGAAAGAGATTGTAAGAACAGACAAAGATTTTGTACTTACGTTGTAGATTTTGACTTTTGCTAAGGACAACTGTCTCTCACCCTCAAAGACGAAACCGCGTCTGCGGTTTTTTCCGCAATGATACACTCCAATGTTTAACTTCGAAGCTAATTCCATCTAGTTTTGGTTCAGGAAAGCGAATATTTTAGTAATTATTTTTATTTTTTAATAATATGATATGATAAGAAATATTTATTAGTTTTGCGTAGATTTAATTTTCTCTTGAAAATATTTTAAGACAGATTTTCTCACATTTTTAATTATTTTTTGTGTACAATTATTTTTTATTTAATTAAAAAAATTAACTGAAAGATGAAAGGGTAGTCCACAAATATTAACTTGAATTTTCTAATATTTAATTTAAACAGTATTTGTGTTATTTTTATGGAATGTTGCCCAATAGATAATGACAGATTTTGTAATAATATTAACCTAAATTTCTTGGTAAGATTTGTATCTTACTTTACAAAAAGAAAGCCATAGTATTTGTTTACCTCTTAAATAAATAAATAATTGAAAATATAATTTTTTATATTTTTTTACTGTTAAATTTTAAATTTTAAAATTGATTTTTTAATATCATTGCATTAATAGCACATTGACAAAAATAAATAATATATATATAAAAGAGAGATGAAGTTAATGAATACAATTAACTGACAAGTGAGGGAAGAGATTTATGGAATGGAAAACATAAAAATTCAGTATTTTATAGGCGAAACCGCAAAAGCCTTTTTCTTTCCTATTTTAATGGAAAATTAGGATTATGGTATTGGACAACCTAATTAAATACTACAATATTATCGTTTGTGGGATGCACAAATCTAGACGTTAAATTATAGAAACGTGAGTAGTTAAGCATTAGAGATATGCGTCAGAAATTGGAAACCTTCCTAGAAAAGGCCTTGGAAATTTCCTGAATCAAAGCAACTGAAAATCTTCATGCTTTTTCAGTTAATTTGATAATTTATATGTTATATAATTAAAATATTAAAAATTATATATTTATATAATATTTTATATAAAAATTATATATTATAATTTATATCGATATAAAAATATAAAATATATATTTTTAATTTTATTAAATTTATATATAATTATTATTAAACTTATAAATTATATTATTTTTTATATTATATTTTAAATTACTAAAATTTAATCAAACCCAGTCAAGGTTGAGACTTGCAAGACCCAACTGGCACAAATTAAGTATTATTATTTAATTTGTTTGATCAAACCACCAACTTCCTTACTCCGAGAGGCCCATTCTTATCCTAAGGAATAAAGGCCTGGGATTCATCCACAAACTAATTGCAAGCAATAGTCATTTGCCACGAACGAAACCAACACTTTAGTCGAGCCCGCCGGGATTTTTTCCAAAGCGGCAAGCCTCTAGTTTGGAAATTAAAAAAATCTGTACGCAAGTGTTTTTTATATAAAAATTATAACAAAATTTTTAACATATCAAAGAAAAATTAATAAACAAACCAAATCTAACATATAATTTGACAAAATTTATTATGATGAAATTGAATATGAAATTTAAACATTTCTAGAATATTTTCCTTGTCATTGAAACAAAACCTTCTTAGCAACATGAAAGTTATAATTTGACAAAATTTCTTATGATGAAATTGAATATGAAATTTAAACATTTTTGGAATATTTTCCTTGTCATTGAAACAAAACCTTCTTAGTAACATGAAAGTATATTTAAATATGACTATTAGTTTGAGAGAAAAAAGTACATTAAAACATGAGGTCTGTGATTGCCTGATTGGCAAACATGATTTTGTATCGATTTCTATTTAAGTATTGAAACCTGTTAAACCTAAAGCCAGCTAAATTCGCCGGACATAGAAGGTAAAGTTCTAGACGTGTATTATCTTCAAATTGTGAACTCATGCTTAATGAAGGTTGAGGAAGCAACAACCACAAAGTTATGGTTCAAGCTTGTGAACCCATTATAGGCTTTAATTAATCAAGTATAGGGAGATAGTGAAAAAACCATGGTTCAGTTAAAGCACACAGAAATTCAGACAAAGATTAACCTGTTTTTGTAGTGTCAGGTTAAATTGATGATTATGAAAGCCACATTAGCATGACATTGTTTTTTTTTTTTCTAAATGCTGAGTGAGGTGTTACGCATATCTGGTTTGATGATTTAGACCAGATTAGAGGGGTCTTAAGGTGGCCATGACTTAATCTTCAAGTTGAAACAGTGAAACCCTACACTATGACATCCGATCGAGCTAATGGAGTCACTGAAATGATAAGGTTTCAAATAATAAATTACAAATGTTGATGATAAACATATAAATAAACATTCAGCATTATTATACCCCTAATCATCACATTTTTTAAAGTTATCTCCTAATGCTTAAAGAACAAGCCAGGAGACGAAACCCAAATTATAATCCATATCCTTGAGCTAATCGCTTAATCTCTGAAATTAATACATTACATTCATTGGATGTTAATTAATTAAAAAATTTATATCTAACACCAAAGTTTGGTTTAGAACTCAAAGTCTACTTTCCATTTTCTATTTTAAAGTATAATTTTTAAATATTAAGAAATAATACTAGCATTTTTTAAAATTATCTAAGTAATCCCAAGTGGTTATCAAGCACGTACGAGTCTATTAATATTATCTGGTATTGAATTCCGATTAAAAGATAGTATTTTACCAAATATGTTAATATTTTAGTTTTCTTTCGTACCCCACAGAATAGAAACTCAAAATTTTATATAAATAAAAGCCTCCAGAGGTTTTGGACCCAGAAATCCAAACTTTCTTTTAGATGGCAAAGATACATCCCCAAGTCCCACAAGCTTCTCTTGTCTCTATTCCCTTCACCACATCCAAGCAAGAAACTTTCACAATTTGGATGAAATCTCTCATACTCAGCGGCAAAGGCTGCACTGTATTTGATTCAAGCGGCCAGATTGTTTATCGTGTTGATAACTACAATTGCAAGTGCAGCCATGAAGTTTACCTAATGGATTTCACCGGGAAAGTGTTATTCACCATAAGAAGAAAGGTAAGAAGCAATTTTCTGATCATCATTTTGGAAAGTTGTACTTGGCTAAGCTGCAAACTATATAATATGGAAATTCAAGTGATTTTTTTTTTTGGCAGAAATTTAAGCTGCTTAGGTTCTGGGAAGGATATAGATCATTCAATGGAACAGTTGACGATGAAGATGAAATCCCAGCTTTTCAAGTGAGAAAAAGTTTCAGGATTTTAGGAGGAGACTTGCTATGTGAAGTTCGTATTCGGTTGAATAAAGATCAACCATGCCAATATTATCAGATTGAAACCTGCCCAGGCCAGTCAACATTCAAGATTGTAGACAAGCTCGGCGGGCTTATTGCAGAGGTAAATTTGGTACTTCAATAATGTTCAATATCTAGTTCTAAAATAGATTTTTTTTTATTACAAGCTATTAAAATTTATAAAAACCAGTATTTTATCAATAAATCACGTAACTATTATCAATTTTAGAATAAAATTTCTATTAAAAAATTACAACACCCAGGATTATTTGTAATCATTAAATTAGGCTTTTTGTTTGAAGTACTCATTAGAAATTTTCGTGTGTTGCATGAACAGGTGAAGAGAAAGCAATCAAAATGTGGAATTAGTTTGGGAGAAGATGTTTTGACAATGGTGGTGGAGCCCCATATTGACCATTCTTTCATCATGGGCCTTGTTGTAGTGCATAGTATCATCAACTGTAGGATTTGAAATTGATGAAGCCGAAAGAAATACTGTAAAGCAAATCTGCGACCCATAGTCGTATACGAATTACTGTTGATATATTATGTATAAAGTCCTGATAAGCACTTCCACTGTCTGTTAGTAGTAATTAACAATAATCTCCTAATTATCCTTTCAAAATGTTAAAGCATTCAATCTAAACTACCTCATATAGATTAAGAAACTCAGAATATAAAATTATAAAAAATCCAAAATATAACAGGTGTGGGATATAGAAAAAACTTAAACTTGAATATAAAATTATAAAAAAATTTAAAATTTAATAGATGTAAGATAATATTTTTAAATATGCCTTTTGAGTTTTCAAAAGACTACTATTTTAATAATAAACATAATATGTATCAAGTAATAAATTCAAAAAGTAAAATGAACAAGAAAATTAAATAAACCTAGATTTTAATATCAAATTAAAACATTTAATTTAAAATTAATTGGTAATAAATAAAACAATCTAATTTAAATATAAAATTATAAGAAATCCAAAACTTAACTATTGTATAAATTAAATATTTATGTGAGTTTGATATCACCTTGACACAATTCAATGGATAAATTTACATGAAAATAAAAATATAAAAAATAAAATTTATGATATTTATATCTTTTTATTTTTTTAAAATATATATATTTTACATATGCACTCTAATCACACACATATATATATTCGATACGTCAAAATCCAATAACATAAAATATATATTTTTAATTTAGATAAAAATTTATTATTAAAAATGAGATTGATTTTTGAATCTAACTCTTCAAAATAAAGATGTACTTTCATATATGCATTTCATAATTGGGCGATAAACCGATTATCATTTGACTTCCTTTTTTATTTTGACCTAATTAATTCTTATATATTTCATGTTTATTTAAAAAGTAATATACAATCTTTCGAAAAAAAGTACTATACAAAAAGCCGTATGCAGCAATTTCAATTGTACGACATCGTTTTAATTGATTGCTCTGGCACTAATAACGGTGATAATCCCCTGATTACCTTTCCCTAAAACGCACATTATCAGGATCTCCCTCTGATTACCTTTCCCAGCCGGAACTTTTTTTTGTTTTTTCTCTTCCTCTCCCTCTTCGCCTTTAAATTTTCCCTAGAAAGTGATGCTCCTAATCCAAAAATAAAAAAAATACAGGTACGTACCAAAACACCCCAAAATTTGTTAAATGTGGTGGAGATCGCCTTCTTTCATTCTTGACAGGCAGCAGCAACAACAACAAAACGACAGCGTTCCGCCAAATCCCGAATCACTATTTCTCTCATCTTCGCCTCCTTCCATGGCCGATTCTCTTCAAAACCCTAAATCCAACATTTCTGCCTATTACCAGACCCGTGCCGCTCATCATGCCGTCGTAACTAGCGATTGGCTGGCCCAGGCCCAGGCCGCCGTCGGCCGCCTCCCCGACGACGATGACTCGTCGGGAAGTGAAAGAAAAGCCGCCCCGACTGGGGGAGGAGGAGGAGGGGTACGAGGAGGGAAGGTGTTTAGTGTTATTAATGAGTTCAATAACTGGAGGAAGCAACCGGATTTGGCGGAGGCCGTGGCGGCTATTCGCGCCCTCGCGGCGGTTATTAGAGCTAGCGAAGCTACCACCATGATGGAGCTGGAAATTGAGCTTAAAAAGGCTTCTGATTCTCTTAAAGTGAGTCTTTTGGTTATTATTTTAAAATTAAAAAAAAGCTTTATTTTTGAAGTTCGTGAAGTTGTATTCTTTCGATTATGGTATAAATTATACTGTGAACTAAGTGAAATACTAAAATTTAGTTCAGCTTTGCTCGTTTGAATAACTTAAATTTATTGCCTTTTATCATAATTTTATTAATCTTTTAGTGACATTTTTCAGTTCATTTTCAATGGGTACATTAGGTTCTTTTGATGGTTATATGTGTTATTATGTTCCCTTTGGAGGTGCAGTGTGAACATTATCCATTGGCACATGAATATTTCGGAGCTAAAGATGTGAGAGTTCCAATGAGGCTTTCTGTGTTATTGTATATGAATGCCAGCGAACAACATGCCCTCGTTATCGGTATCTAAATTTTAAAGGCGGAAGATGCTCTTTTCTAGTTTTCTAATTTCGTTGCAGCAATGCTATTAAGTGCTAATGCTAATACCTGTATGATTGTGAATGCCTAATAATACTGCATCTTTTCTTTTTTTTTTTTCTAGTTTGTTCTTGAGTTTCCCATGGACGCTATGAATGGTACTGGCACCCTGGATACAGAAGTATATTATAAGTTGCTTAGGTATCTGCGGTATAAAGCTGTTGGCACTCTTAGGTCTCTTTAATTTTAAGCCATTGCAATTAGCGTCAGTACTTTGGTGTGGTTTGATATATCTGAGGCTTTTTGTCTAGAAGAATGTTCATGTAACAAGGTAATAGGTGGTTCTGTTAGATATTTGTTTACTCTATTTCCAGATCTTTAATATTTGCTTGTTTAAGAGAAATTATATTGTTAATTAGAAGTTTAAAGGATGACTTATTATGTGTTTAGTACGATGATAACATGTTGTTGGAGGAAAGGATTGGGGGTGGCATGATAAATCTATGAAGATGATTTGTCCTTAAGTGGTGTCAATGCTATGTAGATTTATGAGATATCCTTATGGTATATGGTATACCCTCAAATTTATGACAGATACACGTTCTATCTTACAACACAAAATTCAAAACCCTTTTGTAGAATTTGAATGTGAATGTGAATGTGATAGTAATAAAAGGAAAGTGCTTTAATGGCATAAGCTCTTTTATATTGAATGAATTCATTCTGTGTATACTTGCTAGAAATTTAACATATTTTTTCTCAGAATACTTTGGATGAGGAATTCTGTTTATGGAGATGTGGAAATTAGAATTGCATTTTAGGATAGCATGCAGAAATTGTCCCAGTTAATGCTGTTTTATGGCTGGTTTCGATGTGACAAAAATGACAAATCCATCAAGAAAAATGAATTGCTATCCGCCAACTTTTGTTCATATCTTTTGCTGCTTAGAGAACGTTACCTCTCTTTCTGGTTTGCCTCACACTTAACCATATTTTTTTTTCCAGTCCTGGGACACAACTTCTATATCTTTAACAGCAGGTTGTGATCTCTTCATGCGATATGTAACAAGAACATCAGCTTTAGAGTATGAGGACTTTAATTCGGCTAGGTCTCGCCTGATTGAACGTGCAGAGAAGTTTGGGGAAATATCCTGTAAGGTATTTTGATAATTGTGGCTTTTTAAGTAACTGCTTCACTACTGTATCATTTCATTTTAAGTATGCTTCGCGCATCCCCATTTTAAAGACATTAGCCAAACAATGCAGGCACGCAGGATTATTGCAATGCTTAGTCAAGATTTTATATTTGATGGATGTACCATTTTGGTACATGGTTTCTCCAGAGTTGTTCTAGAAGTATTGAAGACAGCAGCACAAAATAAGAAACTCTTTCGAGTTTTCTGCACAGGTTCTGCTTTTTAATTACATGGACATCTGCATGCAACTATTTCTTAACAGCACTAAATCAGTTGTCATGTCATCAGAAAAGGAGTCTAGTCATTTTCTGTTTTTTTGCATATGTTCTATTCTGACAAGTGACTGCATTTTAGTAATTCGTACCAGATGATGTGTTTATGACAGAGCCCATCTTACCTTTTCCCTTGCTTTTAGTACAGAAGGAAGGCCAGACAGGACAGGATTACGTTTATCTAATGAGCTGGCCAAGCTTGATGTTCCTGTAAAGCTTCTAATAGACTCTGCTGTTGCATATTCTATGGATGAGGTGGACATGGTAATTGTTGGGGCTGATGGAGTGGTTGAAAGTGGGGGTATCATAAATATGATGGGGACATACCAGATTGCATTGGTGGCGCATAGAATGAACAAACCTGTTTATGTGACTGCTGAAAGCTACAAGGTGATTAAACTTCGTTTCTTTCTCTCTTTCGAAGTATCTGAACAATGAAATTATCTTGTATACAACGTACCTAAGAAAGAAAGGGTACAGAATAGAAGTTGAGGGTATGGATTAGTGACTAGCATACTCACTTATGATAATTTTCCTTGTAGTTTGCCCGCCTGTATCCATTGGACCAAAAGGATATGGCTCCTGCCCTACGCCCCATTGATTTTGGGGTACCCATCCCATCTAAGGTCGAGGTTGAAACATCTGCTCGAGATTACACTCCACCTCAATATCTTACTCTACTCTTTACGGATTTGGGTGTTCTTACTCCTTCCGTGGTTAGTGATGAGCTTATTCAGCTATATCTATAGTGGCGCTTGAATGTAATTTTGTTCAAGAATTTCGCAGATGAAGCTTGTCACAACGTACTTTTTAGGATTTATTTATAGACTGCTTTATATCTTTTAAGTGATAATTTTGTATTTACTGCTTTAAAATTCATTTCTGGTCATATGTTAGTGGATTGTGTTTTTACCAAAATGTCGTGAAGCATTAATAAAATTTGAATTTGTTATGAAACTTGTCACACCTCATTGTAGTATATTCTTTTAGCTAGAGATTCATGTCGAATCAAATACATTTTTTTTAGTTTTTGTCAAATTTATGTAAAACTTTTAAAAAAATTTAAATGGTGTCAGTTTTTTTTTTTTTTTAATGCTCTTATGTTTAAAATTTGACATATTTACTTAGGTATCCATAACATGGTTTGGTTTGTGCATAAACTGTGATTGGAAAAATTTATATTCCATTAGATTAATGTTTGTCTTGTTTTTAACCAATTTGTAAAAAAATCAATCAAATTGGAATGAAAGGAAACTGTCTTATGCAAATTTACCATAGCAAACAAGACGCTTAATTGCATTGCAAAACTAGAACCATGGACAGCGGGAACGCAAGTAAATTTATTCAGTCGATGGTAACAGAAATCAGCAAGAGCTCTAATTAACATTATTATCAGCCAAAGCTTCGGCTTATAATAAGTCTTTGCAGGTCAATTCCTATTCGAGTAAAGTCGTTGACTTGGTTTATATTTCTCTACTTCTTATTTATTTTTTTGGAAAGAAGTTTCTCCCTCAGCTCAGCAACATCAATGTCGCCAAAATGATTCTCTGGAATCCAGTTGCCGGTCTTCGGATCTCTCATCCAGAACGTCTCCTTCTGCTCTTCTGCTGAAACTAATTCTGCCTTCAAATCTGTTCTCTTCCTCATAACCGATGCCACGGTTGGCACTTTCATCTTCTCCGCTGCTACTGCGTATGATCGTCTACAAAATCACAAAAATAATCCATGATCGTTCATCATATCAAAAACCAAATAAAAAAAAAAAACTAAACTTCAAACATATAAACCTAGGACAAATGGTAAGAGAGAAACACAAAAAGGAACTAAATATAATAAACTAAAGGTAACCCGAGTAGCTGAAAGCTCTTCATGGGAACCCGAGCCATTTTTTTTTGTTTAGAATAATGAATGGAATTTGAGATACAGAGGAAAATGGAAAAACTAGGTTTCTTTTTTTAGAGTTCGAAGGCAGAAAAACACATTATTTATAAGCGCTGCTAACCTAGGCCTTGGTTGTTGTTGTTGTTGTAAAATAGAATTCGAGAATAGTAGTGACTCCTTTTTTGCACAGAAAGATAATATGGAGAATCCAGATAAGGTTGGGAAAACAATTAGTTTATAATCAAGTAGGAATCTAGATTTTCAAGTTTTTTTTTTTTTTTCATTTTTTCACTGATTAATAACTTAATGATAATATTTATAAGTGAAAATTAAAAAAAAAAAAAAAGAGCTACCAATAAGTGATTTGTTTTAAAATTAAAAGTTTCGAATTTAAATTTCAATCTATAAAAAGATAAAAAAATTAAAAAAATCATCGATTTTAATTTTATCAATGATATTTTTGAATTGAGAAATAAAGCATCTTTGTTTACCTAATTGACAAATGTGAAATGGAATTTTGTGGGAAAAACAAAAAGCTATAAAAACTTGCCTTCAGAGGGTGACTGATTGACTTAAAATACTAGTGAAAATTCCTGCTCCTTTGGTCTCCTCAATCATTCTGTTTAATATTCTTCACATTTCTTTTTTAATACATACAAATTGGAGAGGGACGAAAAAAGAACAAAAAAATAAAGTAATTGGAGAACAATTGTTTGGATTGGAACTTGGAAGATTGACATTCACTTAATTTCATTTCCTGTATCTAAATATGATTCATCCCTTAATTTACATCACATGCATTGCATCAGCAAAATAATTGTGTTAAGTAAGGCATGGTTTTGTGATCATAAAATTTTACCTTTTATATAAATAAATAAATATATAATATTAGAAAGTATCAATTTATATAACGAAACTTTTTTAAAGTTTTATATAGTTTTTTAATTCTTAATTTTAATAAATTTAAGAGATAAAAGAAATAAATAAAAATAAATAAAATGATTTAATTTTATTTTTTAAATTTATTGAAATCAATTATTAAACATATATATATATATGAAGGTGAATGAGAATATATAGATTTTCAAGAATAAAATCTTATTCATGGAAAAATGTAAGTATTTAAAATTATTCAGAAAGCTAATTAGACTCATGCTTTACTTAGAATACATTAATCATATAACACAAGAAAAGAATATATTAATTATTCCTAATGCAAATTGCAAAAGTCATTGATACCATTTGCCCATAACAGCAAAACCCAACATATAAAATATATGAAACTGGAAAACAGGCATCTCTTATTTTCCATCTATGCTTCGTCTTTTTCTCCAACTAGCTACCACATGTATATAATTTTGTAAGGAATAAGAACATCTGAAAAATTTTGTCTTAAACCCTCCATGAATATTGATGTTTAATGTGAGAAGAAAATTTTTAATTTTGACTTATAAACCTCAATTAGCTCGTAGGAGTTATTATTATGGTATTTGTTTTTCTCGTTTAACTGTAGATTGGATTGGTTGAATTTTAAGATATATCTCGGAGTTGAAGTAAAGAATCTCGCAATAAATTAAAAAAACAAAAAAAAAAATCTACTCAACATTCATAAATCTGAATCCAAGATTACCAATTTTGATAATAGATTATACTGATTAGAGGTTTAATTGAATCAAATTGATATATTAAAAAGTTTGAATTCGAGCTCGACTCTCAACCCACAGCTCAATACTCGATTCGAATTCAATTAAGTTTCATTTTTTTAATTTACGTTCGATTTGTGATCGAATTCGAACTACTTGAACTCGCTCGATTAAGCTCGAAAATATGTAAAAATAAGTTCGATTCTTATACTCGACAAGAACTTGATTATTTGTGCTCGAATTTGAGATATTTTATTAATTAAAATAAAAAAATTTTAACTATAAAAGTTCGATTAGGCTCGTAAATTATTAGAATATTCGAACTTGACTCGATCGATGAGTCGAACTGTTTAAGCTCGAGCTCGACTCGATAATAATCGAACCAAATTCGAGTTTTATTTAAATCGAATCCAAACAACTTACGAGTACTAATGTATCATTTCTACCTCTAATATCGATAATCAAAGATATGAGTAGGCAAATCATGTTTTAACTTAACCATTATTCTTAAAATATAATTATAGGAAGAATGAGATTTAAATTTTATTATTTGTAAAGTTTTAATTTTTAAATTTAAAATTTTATTTTAAAAAAATTTAAGATTAGTTAAAAATATCAATTTTACGTATTTTCAATGAAAATTAAAATTATTAATCGAAAAGAAATTAATATTACATTGCAAAGATAAATATAATTTTAAAATTTTTTTCAACATTAGATCGAGGATAGAGAATACAACATGCACTTGCCTTGTATCCATATTCATGCTTTACATATATATAAATATATATATAATAAATATATTTGTTAATAAATAATATAAATTATTATTTTAAATTAATTATAATTAATATATTTCTATTTAAATTATATATTAATATATTTATTAAAATATTACATAAATATATAAGATAAAAAAGTTTTTAAAAAGTAAAAAAAAATAATTTTTATTTTTTTTAAAGTTACGAATATAAAAATTGTCTATAATTATTTGCAAGAATGAAAATAAATTTAAAATATTTATTAAATATAAATATAAAAATAAATATAATATAAAAATTTAAAAATAAAGACAAAAATACTCTATCCATTTTATATTCTACCCGTTGACATTTCGAAAAGTAAGCAAAGCACAACCGTTGTTTATTGTCCAGCCAGCGATTATGCACTGAAAATTGCCATTTAGAATCAAATATCAATAAAAGTATTTTGTCCCATTTTCACCAATGATTCTTTGGTTTCTGCCCAGGACCAATACTGATGTTACTTGGAAGAAAATTTAACAAAAGTTGGGATCGAAAGCTCATTCAAAGATGAAAAGGAATTTATTGATTTTTTTAGAAAAAAAAAAAACAAAGAGAGCTCATTCAATTATCTTGATGAAAATCAGAGTACAAAGCATGAGAAAATATTGATATTTATTGATATTTAAAACATAAGATATTTTCCCAAAATATTGATTTATTTACATTGCATATAATTACATTAATTAAGCTGTTTAGCCAAAAAAAAAAGAAATAAGTAAGATTAATTATGCTTAATTAATAATTAACTAGCTTGCCTGACTTATATATGGTTAGTATAGATGAAATAGATTAGCCTAATTTCTTTAATAAGACCTTGTCTTGATGGCAAAAAAAAATTGTTTTGAAAATATCACATTCTTAAGTTCGAGTCTCATGTCATGAATGTATTTAGCTTAATTTTATATTAATTTATTTAATTTATTATTTTTTAACTAATACCCCTTTATTATTCCTTCGACCTTCATTTTTTTTTTTTACGTGTGATATTGAACTATAGAACGAGACATGACTCCTTTTATATATTTCATAAACTTTATATTTTTTGTCTCAATATTTGAATTGAAGACCTTTAATACGAAGGTTTTAGCTCGTCAAAGATATTATTTCTTTTTTTTTTTTCAAATGATTTTAAATTAAATATTTAACACATTTAAATACAAAAAATGAAAAGGAAAACAACTTATACAAATTAAAAAGATAAGGAATTTAGAAAGATATAATTAATATTAAGATAAGTAATTGGAGATGTCTAATAACAATAACCATAATTTACAATAGTTATCAATATTTGATGAAGAAAGTTGGGCCAATTTCCTTTCCTATATGATTTGTGTACATTAATACAATACCATAAAATTGCATTATTATATATGAATGGATCTTTCTCAAATATATATATATATATATATATATATTTGTTTATTTCAAAGTAGATTAGATAATTTCAAGGATTGAGTTATTGTAAGATCTTTAAAGTTTATCCAAAAATTAGTAGTATTTAGAGATAAATTTTAAGCCCATTAAATGAGATTCGATTTAGATTTTTAGCTTGTTTGAAAAATGAATTGGGCTTTGGACATTAAGTTTAAGGCCTTGGCTCGACTCGATTCAAATAATTATTATATAAAATTTATTTATATTTATATTACATAAAAATAAATAGATAATAAAATAATATATCTATATACACTAATACCTTATACTTATATATATTAATTACATTCAAACACCAAATTAAATTAACAAAATATTTTTTAAAAATTTATTTTATTGATTATTTATTTTATCGTAGTTAATATTTATTATAAAATTTTTTTTTATTTTTTATTTGAAAATGTTAAAATTTGAACGATTCTAAATAAAGTTCTTTAAAAATAAATTGGATCTGGATAGCAAAATAAAATTTATATTTTGGAGTGGACAAATTTAAAATTTTTTTAAAATCTTGTTTAGAATCAATCATGGATAGATCTATTATGTGTGCATTTTAAAAGTATTTATGAGCTGGATTAAGTCAAGTTAGATCGGATTAATATTTGATATTAATAATTGATATATTTGCTTAAGTCGACCTAATTCGATATTTTAGACTTGAAATTTTTTTCAAATTTGGCTCAAGTGAAAAACCTAAATTTCAAATTCATCTATCAAGCCCAATTTATATAATAAAAAAATAAAAAATTATTTTTAAAAAATAAAATATTAATTAAAAATTCAGATATATATTTACATAATTATAATATTTTAATTATATATATTTTATTCTGAATCAAGTTAGGTCGAATTTTAATTTTTTATTCAAAATTTATTTCAAAAGTTAAATAAATCTAAAAATTATATTAAAACTCATTTAATAAATTTTAATTTTTTTCAAATCTTGTTCAAATAACCCAATCCTTAATCAATCTAACACATTCATATATGTGCATTATTAACTTTGATTCATTTATGCCATCTATCATGGACGGTGGCGACAAAAGAGAGCTGGCAGGGGTCCACGCCCACAAAACCCTTTCTTTTGGTTGGCAATGATCATAAATCACAATTCACTACATATACTTTGTTTTTCTGTTGTTTTCCAAACTTGAAATGCGTACAAACATTTTAGAAAAATATAACTAAAAAAGGTATTATGGACATAATTTTCCCATTAAACTTTTATTATCTTATTTCAATTTTCTCCTTTGAAGAATATCTTATTTTAGTTTTAAATATTATCTATGAAATTAAAAAAATCATGGGACTAAAATATGAACCCCCTAGTTTTCAGTTACTGTGATTATCTTATTATATTCGTTTCACATTATGGGATAATCATATCAAATATGACGAATATTTCCTTTTGTATATACATAATTAACTAGAGGAACTTAATTAATTATAACAAAAAACACAAGCAATTAGCATGCTAACTACGTGTTTAGGCATTAATTATTATTTTTTTACTTTGACAAAACATGCCATGCAATAAAATATAGCAAAAGAAGCATATATAACTGACTATTGAGGATACTTGATATATACGTTATCTCACACAACCAAAACAACAAGGAACATGTTTTTGTTAAGTTTAGCAAATTTATACAAGAGTGCTGGATGATAAAATTTTTTATTATAATTTTATAATTATTCAATCACAATAAAAAATTTTGTAAAGATTTATCATTTATAAGTGTGTCAGTTTAACTCTTTGATCGATTTATATTTTTCATTAATTTTTAATACAATTTTGGTCGTCATTCACAAATATAACTTTTATAATTTACGGTGAATCTTACCAATGTGAATAGTAATAATAAATTTATTAAAATGTAGCAAATAAAAAATAAAAAATAAAAATTTAAGTGCATTTGACATAATATTTTAATAATCATACAAAATTTTAAATTTTGATAATTAATTACTATAATTTAATTATTTTAAATGTTATGCTTCCATTTGAATAGCATATTGGGCTTGTTGATTTCTTTATATTCTTATAGAAAATCTTAATTAAATCTTAGGAGTAATAATTTAAGTAAGGCTTTCTAATCTTTAAAAGGACAATAGACCCGACTTTTCTCCCTTAACTTAGTGATTAAAAAATAGATTGAAAGTTATGTAGGTGTAGGTTTGATCCTGATCATCTCACTTCTCTTTTGTAAGGATACTAATTTTACCAAAAAAAAGAATCAATAGACCTGTGACATATTTTAATTTTAATTTTAAAAAATTATTTTTAAAAGAACGTGATCATATTCCCAAAAAAGATGAATTACTAAAACAAACAAAAAAAAAAAAAGGAATTAAATTATTTATTTGAACACGTTTCTCATGTTTGGCAAAAGGTCTTATTCTTGGTGGGCCAAATGCACTTTAAAATGGCTGAAAAAAGCTGTCAATTGCTCTGTTGATAATCAATCACTTTGGTGCAAAATGCAAAATGCCAAACGCGGTAACAGTATAATCTCACGTTTCTGTAACACCAAAATATACGAACATATGAAAAAATATAAACATGTCCCCACATTTTTTTACCATAGCATGATTTGTATTTATTCTAATATGGTAAAAAAAAAGGTGGATATAAATAACCATCACTCCACTTCTGAAATCTCTCCATTCCCACAAATTTTCCTCTCATCTTCTTGTCTCTCTTTCTCTCTCTCTACTTACTGAAACAGCGATGATTATGAAACTTAAGAGCCATTTCAAGCTAGAAGGAGGCAGTGAAGATGGCAAGAAAAACCCAATTTGTGCAAGCTCTGACAAGAGCTCATCAGTTGCTGTTGGGTTGAGAATCCTTACACAAATTCCACGGGGAAAATCTAATGTTGTTGTTGTTAAACCTGCATTGAAAATCAGCCTTCCCACCTCTAGAAAGCATCATGGCAATTCCAGCCGGTTGCCAGCTGATCAATCTTGCTTTCTCAAGTCATGTCATCTATGCCACAAGAACTTAAGCCTAGATAAAGAAGTTTACATGTACAGGTAACAAATAATTTCATACCATATTGTATATTTTTTGTTATAGAAATTTTTTTGGGGGGGATTTTCCAAAATTTTTGGGGCCTTTACAACATATATAGAAAGGTGTGAATATATATGCTGAATTCTGATAAAAATTATGTGATTGCAGGGGTGACCAAGGCTTTTGCAGCATACAGTGCAGGGACAGGCAAATTGTTTTGGATGAAATGAGGGAACTTGAACCGTCTACAAAACAAATGATAGCATCTTGTAGAAATTGTAGCGCCACCTCCGGCCGACGAGAGACCCGTCTCCTCCTAGAGGATCTCCGCGGGAGAAACAAATCGCCTCATCAAAACCAAAACCATTGGGCAATAGTCTCATAACCATAAGTTCATACATATATAAGTTGATAACTAGGGTGTACTCGGTTTTAGTTATTAATTTGGATAATTCTTCTCCATAAAAGAGAAGAAAAAAGAGTGATCACGCAACTTTTTTTTTTTTTGAGATGAGGAATTGGAGAAGATAATTGATTAAAGATGTAAAGTGAATGAAGAAGTGATGGTAGCTGGGATATTTTTGTGACATGTCGTTATAGACAAGAATGGATAAATATAATTGTAAGTTATTGTCTTTTTTCATCAAACTTTTTAAGATAAGCAACCCTTTTCATTCTTTCCTACCACTATCCTTTTGTTAAATATGATATGATGATATATATGAAAATGATATAAAAAAAGACATGAAAGCAACATAATTTAAAATTTTGATAAAATTTATATATAAATTTGATTAAAAATAAATAAATATATATATTTTATATTTGATATGTCAATATAATTCTATTATGATATATAATTTTAATATTTTACACATTAAAAATAAAATAATTACAGTACATATATACAAATGATCAAAATCATCTCTTGGTTTTTTTTTTTGTCTACAACAATAAAAGCCGATAATGGCCAATAACGTGTCTTTCTGGATGCAGCATTAACAATGTTTATTGGGGCTACATTCCACTAGATATTTTGCTTTTTTGCACGCACTGTCAATATACTTTGATTTTGACATAAAATATCTATGAGGGAAGAAAGTTCCATGGATTTTAGAGTGTTTTTTGAGATATCATATGGCCGCATTATGAAATGTCCATAGATGATGCTATCTTGGCATTTTCCTTTGTGGTTAAATAGTCATCACTTTCATTTGTCAGATGTAACTTGTCATTGTCTCTCAATTAGTTGCATGCCATTCAATCAATTCAATTCATTTCCTAGTAGTAAATTGTTGAGCCATTACTCTTGGATTCTACATTAAAAAAAGTGTTCTAAAATCAATGGTTGCAAAAGTAAAATATGCTTTTTTATGGTAAATTAAGTCAAATTCTGATGAAAATCTCATATGCCAACATAACCAAAAACAACTTTGAGAAAATTACTAGTCCAATGCTGGGTGAACATTTTGGATTTCAGTTCTTTTCTCTTTCTTTGTTCTTATTAATTATATCTTGTACGTGTTAAATGAAAAAAAAAAAAGTTGAAGAAAAATAATATTAAAAAAGGAAGAGATTGGACAAAGTATTGCATGGTGTTTTCATATATTTAATTAAAAGAATATCTTGAATATATAGTAGAACATTACATTTGCATTTAATTGTACATATATTTATTAATTGATTTAATTTTTTACTACATGAACAAAATTATGTAACCTAACAGTTGTAAATATTGACAAATTTGCTCTCAATAATTTATTGACAAGAAATTGGTGGACACCCCTTCAGCCCTTTCATTAAAACAGGAAAAAAAAAAAAAAACCTACAAATTAGTTAGTGAGAGAAAAGAGCACAACAGAGATAAAATGGTTAGACAATTGTAATTAATTTAGAATTTGTTGTATTATTATCAAAAGAATACAAATGTTTGTGACTAATCAACACCTTCGTTGGACTAGATGTGGGCTTATGCAAATAAAATTGGATGCAGATTACAATTAAAGAATGCTTCCCATCGTCTCAACCGAAGTAGAAAAGATGGTGGTGATAACAAACAATGACAACATTTTCTTGGTTGATGATTTCTATTTCTCAGCCATACATGACGATCAAGAAGTATTTTCAATATCAGATAAGAAAAATGCACCAGAGTTACAGTTGCAAGATGCTTTAGTGTCCTCAGTCATCTCTTCTAGACTGTCTTCTTGATCGGTATAACCTGCACCCAGTTTTTCTGCATTCTTTAGCCAATATGTAACAGCAAAATTACAGGAAAATACATCAATGGTTAAATGCCCTGACTTAAAACTGTAATGGTGCTTTAGAACCACAATTTTGTCATTCAATTGTTCCTGGTGAAGTATGAGATTGCAACACTAGTACTGTAGTACAATAGAAATTCAAATAAAACCCTGCCCAAGAGCCAAAATAATAATAATTATAAATAAAACAAGCGTTATTGTCATCGAATCGACTTCTTTTGGCTCTCAGAATTTTCCTCCTAAAAGATTATACAGGAGAAATTAACATAATCCACGATCAGGAGTGGCATTGCTAGATTTTCCCTCAACCATGAATTGGTGTACAAATCCTCCCTTATTCACTTCCTCATCAGTAACCCATGGCCGTAAATAACTAGAGTTTGGATGCTCAGCTCCTCCAGTCTATCCGCTGCTGTTTTCCTAAAGTCCTTAATGGCCAGCGCATATTCCACGAGCTACACGGGACCCAAGTTCTCGATCCACTGATCATCCAACCAAAACCCAGCATTAATGTCTTCTTCGTCAACTTCTTTCTGCTTTGGCAACGAATCACTACCATCAGATGAGCCGCCAAGAAATCGATCAAGAACAACATCCACACTATTGGCGGTGGTGTAAACTCGTCCAGATTTTGATAGTATGAGGATACCAACTTCTGCTCCACACAATGTCGAGAGCTCTATAGCTTTATTGAACAACCCTCTTCTACGTTTGGAGAAAGTGACTTGGCGTTGCTTTTGTCTTCCAGTTTCTTGATTTCAATTCGTTGACGACCTCGGCTGGTTCTTGTTTTCTTCGCCTCTGTTGTGTTTGATGTCGCATAATCATCCATGGCAAGAAAACAGAACCAATTGAAGACAGAAAATTACTACAACACCGAGGTATCTCTAGGGCTTAAAGAAAGGCTGCTTGGGTTTATATATTTGAACTAACAAGCTAGGTTGAACAAAAAGAAGCAATATTTTAGCTTGTTTCTGCGGCGGCTGTGATCGGAATAAACAACCTTTCGTCACAAAAAAAAAAAAAAAAACGGTTGACTTGTATTTGAAATTGGGCCAAAAATTGGACTCCATGGTTTTTCATGAATCTCAAAAAGAAAAAATTACTCTAACTATCTTGGGCTAGCTATCATTAATCAGTGGGCTTTGCCTTTTGAATGACATCCAGCCCTCCAGGCTTCTTTCTGATCAGTAAAAAATTAAGCCCTGCAAAATGCAAGTATCAAGGGACAAGAATCAGTCCTCCCAATGGCTTCTTTTAAGTAGAATTCCTCTCCAAATTTTATTATTTCATGCTTTAGCCCACTTTTTTTTCAAGAAAAAAATATAAAAACACCAAATATCTTTTTTTTTTTTAGTTTAATTTGAAAAAAGATATCCTAATTGGATTATTTGAACCGAAAAATACGTAAATTTATTATTAAGCAAAACATTTAAATTCCCAACTCTCTTTTCCACATACATTTTTGTCTATATATTTAAAATCTTTATACCCATATATGCACGTACAAGTAATAAAATAAAGAGAAAAAAAGGGGGGAAAACATATGGGTCACCAATGCCATCCATTGCATTTTCTTTGAATATAAATTCAAAATGACCCTTTGACCACTATTAGTGCAATGTGCTGTCTCTTCAGCCATGGCCATGGGGCCAAATTTTTCCAATTTTTAATCAATTTCTCATGAAACATTCAATGCAATAACCTTTTAATACTACTAATCAAGTATTCTAATAAAATTTTGTTAAATTTGGGACAAAAGCCTGTTTCAGAAGGAATAATTAATCTGCCTTCAGACTTCTAATTTCATCATTAGATGCTCTTCTAGATCAATTTTAATTATTTAGCTGTTGATAGCGTATAGTACTTGCTGATTAAAAATGTACCATTAATTCAAGTTAAAGGAGCCAAAGCGATGATCACCTATACCTATGAAAAACCAACTTTTGTCAAATTTTAACCGAGCTGGCCTAAGCAAAATGAGGAATGGACTGATAAACAACACGATTATACCTACAATATAGTATTCTGGCCAAAAAAAAAAGGACCTATAACATAGTATTTTCCTGCCAATTGGATGGTCCCCGATGGGTTTTATAAGAGACCTTTAATTAATACTATAAACATTATATTTTGGGGGGACACTTAGTATTAATGATGGGTATTTATAAATAACTATTGCAATAATACATTTTGTTGCCAAAGTTGTAGCCTGGCTACTGAAAAAGAGGAGAGTCTTCAACAATTTCAGCATTTCTGCAATGTTCTGCCACAAAACTTTTTGATAGAATCATTAAAAATCATGGGATGAAGCTTTGTACAGATTGAAATCATAATTCTTGCTGTATTTCTAATGAAGTATAACATGCTATCATCATGCAGATGATGAACAATTAATCCTTTTAATGGTTGATTAAGTTGGTAATTACCTATAGATATACATTTTTTCTAATTCAGTCAAAAAGTGTCCCTTGATTTTATTTTCAAACTATAAAAATCAATCCTAAATAAAAAGAAAAAGAAACACCCCTCACCAAAAGAACTAACACGTGTAGGTGTCGGCAGTTACGTGCAAAAGAGCATGATGATGAACTCAACTTTAATCCCTTTGCTTTGATATGCCATATATGTTATTACTTTGCCATCACTTTCCAAAACCTAGTGCTTAGCCAAAGTAAATAGTAAGGATTGGGTGACAATAATTGAAGCAAAAGAATACGACCATTGGCATAGAAGATGCAAGAACCTTCTTTGTGTACTGCATACAACTTTTATCCTTTTCAAACCTGCTTTAAAGTCTAAAATAACACTTCCTTTCAAGATTAAGATTTAGAGATAAGACCATGCAAAAAAAAAAAAAAAAAGGAAAAGGGTTTTAGTAAAAGAAGATTTGTCAAACATAAGAAAGCCTTTAGTTGCTTTGATTCAAAACCAAACCCTTTGAGGTCCATTCCTCTCTTTCTTTAGTTCTAATAATGATGGAACTTCTAATAATTGCATGTGATCTGTACCAAACCCCACTTCTCAACCTCCCAGTAAGTCCCTCCATTCTTTTTCAAATATTGTTTTACAGTTTCATTGGGGCCTCGATGTCTCATCGATCCCTTGCCCTATAGGCTTTGCTATGTTTTGTTTTGTTTTTGTTTTTTTTTTTTTTTATGGCAAGATGAAACCTTTTGTTGCACCATTTTCTTAATCAAACTAGCTAAATATCCTTTTAAGAAAATCAAATTAAAGACATAATTAAAATGATTAACAACTTGATTTGTCTTATCAAATAACCTTTATTAAAAGACTAAACTTATTGCAAACTTGTGCAAATGCAACCGTTGAGCTTTGTAAATATATAAGAACTAATTTTGTTGTGATCTATTATTAG